GTTGAGAATTTCCAGACATCTTTGAAGCAGCCAAGGATTCATATAGTTGATCCCAGTTAGTTTTGGATTAAGCATTAGTTGAGTGGTTGACTGTAGCTAAGTTGCTTGGACTCTTTCCGCACTCGTGTTGGATCCTTCAAAATACACTATTTTTGAAGGATCCCGACACACACCCGTCGACATTTTTGAAGTGTCCGAGCAACATAGGACTGCAGTATATGGTTGCACTGTTTTGAGTAGAAGGATGTTTTCTGGTTTTACTATGCTTATACTTGTAGGCTCATTGTGTTTGTTTCTCAATATTATTGCTGGTTTGCTGCTTCAAAAAATTCTAATATTGTCAGGCTTAATTGTATCAAGTATGAGTGATGCTTGTGACGGCTCACATGCAGTTTAAGTTCTTCGTTCTTGCTCTTGAGCGGGGTTTGCTTCTTAGGATTTTTGGTGATGCTTATGAAGGGTTGCATTTTCAATGGAATTAGGGTGTAAGGAGATGGACGTACTGATAGTTTGGTCACTATATTGTGTAGCTTTAGTAAATGGAGATCCTGATTTCTTTCTTTCTGGCAGCATAAAATACAAGATTTTTTTTTCTCTCTGGGATGCTTCTCATGATCTGTTTGGTTATAGGCAGGAAGTGCTGTTGTAGATCTTGCTTCACAAACTTATTACTTTCTGCAGAATTTTGGCACCCTGAGTAGTCAATAACAAGCACTAGATTACTTTTGTGCTTTCCTTGGCTGGTGGAATTCTCACTTAAAGTGGAAGCCTTCTTCTCCTTTGCTGATGTCTCTGTTTATTATAGTGATCTAGGCATTACGTTGAATGTCAGTGTTCAATCTTTTATGGTGCTGTTTTTTCCTTTAAATTTACCTGATGAAGACAATATCCTTAAAATGTATGTGTGATGTGACTGTTTGATCATTGATGTGGATAATCTCCTAATATTGGTGACCATTCAGATATTGTCAGCTGTGGAGACTGATTTCCCGTTCATTTATTTATTTCCTTTGGTTTCTAAACTCATCCTTACGTCTTGGTGTTGCTGTGTTTTTCAGCCACTACTCAAGCATACTTCAGATTGGAGAAGCCAGTTTCAGACATTGTTCCCCACATTGCAAGACTGGAGTATGATATTTTGGAAGAGATTGCTATCCCTAACATGAAGGTTTGCAACCTACCTTTTATTGAAATCATAGTTTATCAATGCTGTCTCTTTTCAGTTGCTTGCAATTTAGCTTGACAATGGAATTTGCAGGTTTCTGTCCTATCTGTGCATGCAGCAGGTTTGGCTAACCAGACTAACGTAATATTTGGTTTTCTTCCGGATCCAGTTGATTCTTCTAGTACTCCAGTGTACTTAAGTCTGCTGAAGTCCGCTTTATTGGAACTGTATCTTCGAGATACCAATTTGACATTAACTTCCTCAATATTTGGACAACCATCTTCATTTGAGGTTTTGAAGTGTCCCGGTGGAATCACTTTGATGCCCGAGCACCTACCCTTTTGGGACCTACCTGATGTCCTCTTCAATTTTACTCTCCACAGCTCTATTGATGAAATAAGGGAAAATTTTATTGAGCTGAAGGAACAACTGATATCTGGCTTACGTCTCAGTCAGAGTGAGGTATATGATAATATCTAAATCTTTTTTTGTTTTTGAATTGACATTTCTGGATGAGTGGGAACGTAAGATTTTGGATGCTTCTTAATTAAGACTTTGTGCATACTTTAGATTGGTCTGCTTTTGGAATCTTGGCAAAGAGTGCACCCACATTTATGTTGAGCTTTTCGACCATACTTTTGTCTACCTATGCATCCCCTTTGGTCTAGCTTAGTACTTTTTCATGGCTTAGGAGTCACCTCGATCTTGATCCTTTCTTTACTGTTGTGCTACCGATCTCAACTGAACAAAGCAGTTCTATTCTATGGTTCATTTTTATGAGAAACAAACTATAAGAAGCGTGTGCAATGCAGTGTTGTTTTATGATTTTTCATTTGGTCTATGGCTCACTTGCTGTTGACTTTTATATTTATTTCTAAGGGAAGTTTCCCCGTGAACTATTCACGGTTTGCAACACACTTAAACTATGGTGTGTTGCTATTACCCCTTGTACTACAAAAACTTAATAAGAAGAGAAGAAAGATAAATACAAAATAAAGGGAAAGTGCCACACAGCAACTGTTTACAGACTAATAGTAGCTGTCACACGTCACCAAGAGAGTGAAGTTTCTCTTCATGCCTCTTGGCACTCCATGATCGTTTGAATAGGGGAACATTGTAGTTCAGGGTAATGGCAACTCTCTGTAGTTCGATTATGAAAGTTATTAGATGTGAAAGCTTTACTGTTTTTTTAACGCACTCTCTTTATATTTTAGAATGAGTTTCTTTAAGTTTTCTTCTAGATGTCATATTTTTCTTCGACGTTTTAATAGCTGAGTGGATACTCTTTTCCAATGTATACTCCTTTATTTTCTTCTTTCTCTTTGACGATTTACCTTTTCACATTATAAATTCCCTACTCAAGTATAGATAAGTCGTCCCAAAGATAAGGAGTTATATTCCTTCAATAAAATTCTTTAGCAATTTTTGTTATTTAAATTACAATTCCTAATTGATGTTAATATTACCTTTGTCAAAAAAGATTCTAAAAGGAACATAATGATACACAATGCCTGTGTTGGAAGTTTCTTGCTTAAATTGTGAATAAAGAGATCGTTGGTTGTCAAGTAACAAAGTTTTGTTGGATATATGCCACACAAATCTTATTGTATCTGGTTTTAATTGGATTTCCCTGTCAGAAATTTGCGTGATCAGTTGCGAGGAGGTCTTAGACATGTTTTTCCTATGTTGAGGCTGTCACAAGCAGTTCAATATTGCTGAATGAGATGGAAAAGTAGGTGGTGAACGTGACAAAGATTTACTTAATATTTTATAGACATTTGGCCGTGGATAAAAACCGTATGGAAGTACCTATTGCTACTCATGCCATAGTGATGTATAATTCATAGTTAAACAATAATTATCTGCCACCCTCTAGTGATGTGATGTCAAAGTTATATGACCCCTATGGGCAAGTTGATATTTTTCATGTTTGTTGCATCAATAATTTCTGTTTGCTGCCTTTCCCTGTCTTATTTTTTCTCCTTCCCCTGTATGGGAAATATTAAAGTGGGTGCAGGCATTGCTGTCTGCTTTTGTTCATGCTGTTTACCATAGTACATTTTTAACTGTCAGATCTGACTTATTTTTCTCCCTTTTTCTTCAGAGTGTTTTCTTACAGATATCAAATAAAGTTGGCTCCACTAAAGATCCCCCAGTTGTAGTTGAAGCTTCAGTATATTCAGATATTGGGAGTCTGCAACCTCAGAGGTTAAAACAATTGGCTCAAATAATTATGGGATCTGTTCCTAAATCAAATCTTGGCCTTGATAACTCTGTTTTTGGTAAAGTGAATCAAGTAAGTTTATCTTCCTTTCTAAACCGTACTGTCCATGCTGCCTCGCCTGCTCCAACTCCAGCTCCTGCTCCAAATGAACCTTTGTGGCCATCACCTTCCCCATCACCTTCTGTTTCTTCATCTCCATCTCCATCTCCAGCTCCCTTGTCCAACTGTCGTAGATTACGGTCACATGCTAGACATCATTGTGGTCCAGCTCATGGAGAAGAACCTAGCAGCTCTCCATCTCCTATAGCTGATCCACCTTCTCCTGTGACAAGCTCTGGTCCACCTTCAAGTAGTTCTGGAGTTGCAGCAAGCCCATCATCACATGCACCTACTTATCCTCCAAAACTAAGTCCCAGGGTGAATCTTTCTCCTGGTCCTTCTCCACAAATGTCTTCCTCAATCTCATCTTCATCATCATGTAAGTTTCTCCTCATCATGTGGTCTTTATATTTGTGTTATCTCAATAATTCATTCTCCGTTATCATTTTGACATGTTATTACCTAGTGGGTAGGATCTATCACTTGCTTGTAATGGATAAAGAACCTATGGAAATTGGCGACTTTAGATTGTTTCTTTAGGATCTTTCTTTAGCTACAGCATATTCTGCTTTGGAGGTCACAAGAAATAAAGTGAAGAAGTAGGAAACTCTTTCATGGAAACCATGTACTGGTGGACCTTGTGATTAGTCTAGTAGGAATTTATGTGAAGAAGTAGGAAGCTCTTTCATGGAAACCATGTAGCGGTGGAACTTGTGATTAGTCTAGTAGGAATTTATGATATTTTTGTGCTGCTCAGTAGCTGTTTGTTTCGTTTTCTTTCTTGCAGCTCTTGCACCTGGCTTTTCTTACAAGGGGCTCTGCTTGTTCTGGTTATTTGGATTGGCAGTATTTCAAATCCTTGGTTGGACGTGGTGACTGTCGTGTTCTGGTTTGACAAGATTTTAACATCTTCAAAGAAGAAGAGAGGTGTATACTTAGCAACAAACAACTTTATTTGATTAGGAATTATAGCATCATTTGCCAGTTAGTCTGTGGTTACCATGGCAAGTCACGGTAACCACACTATATGAAGAGAAGAAATCACAGGTCAAAGCCAAAAGGTGGCAGGACTCTGTTTGACATCACATGAAGACAGTTACAAAGATGTTTTCTTCCCGAAGGGAATGACTACTACATGCTCATCTGCAGGTTTTCAAGGAGATACCAGTCGTAAGATATGTTGGTTCATCTTGAACAAGCTGCAAAAATAATGCAAAAGAGCTAATATTTTACCATATTGTATATTCTTACTCAAAACTGTACTCAGCTGCTTTTCATGTGCTAAGAGCTTTTAATCAGATAAAATATCAGCCTTTTGGCACTTGATGCATTAGTATGTTGCGAAATGCAGACCGGTAACGGTCTTTGTTTCTTTGTGAGGTAAAAAATGTTAGTTTTTAGAAAAAACATTTTAAAGCAGGTTGAAAAACATAATTATGGGAAAAGATCAGCAAGACAGTGCTCCAATAGCCTTCTATCTTAATTCATAACAGAACTCTATTTATTTAACTATGAATAAGAACGGATACTGGATTTTGAATTATAAATTGTTTAAAGCACATTTATCGACTGGATTATTCTACAAAGGGCCAGACGTGCATAAAAGTGTACATTAGATACACACCACCTAAGAGCCTCTTTAAAAACCGTCTGAAAACAAAAATACTGACTGGAAACACTTCAGCACCAGAAGCAGCTAATGAACGCGAGGTAAATAGATGCCTGACCTCTAATTTGCTCTTTACATGTTCTATGGTCACATATTCCATGTACAAAGAAAGGCAAACCATGCACAGCAGACTTGGGAACAGGATCATTAATAAACCACCACAAGTGTATTCATTAATAATATATAGATGCCACACTTGCATATGTATTGGGAAAATCAGCAGGTGCTCAAGGCTTGAGTCATGTCAGCCAGTTTAAATAGTAGGGATTATGACTTGTCCCTTTTAGTTGGAATGAGAGAAAAAATTGGTGCTGTGTCAGCAAATACTCGTCTTCCTTCACTGGAGATGGACTGAATCTCCCATGCTGGGCCAAGAAGCCATGATGTTGCAGCTCCTCCCATTAAACCTCCGAGCTGAAATGTTCATGAGAGCAGAGTTGGAAAATCAGACAACCATTCAAACTTATGCCAATGTAAAAAATTGTTTGACTTGTATGTATTTATTAAACACATATGCTGCATTTAAAACAAAGTGAAAGCGCACAAAAAACAATAGCAAAACAAAAAGAAGAGTTGTAGGAGGAAGTATAAAGAAGAAGACAAGGACATGATCAGTTGAGGTACAGACAAGCCAGTCTGGGCACCACAGTTATCAGAAACAAAAGAGAAAAGATGTAATCAGAAGAGGAATGACTTATCTTCCCATACTACTTCCTTTTTCTGCACACAAATTTGGTAAAACCTCAGAGAAGGTTGAGGTTGGTCCTAAATTGGCTCTAGACAGATTTCTCGATATAAAAAAATAATAATTTAAAACACACAGAATGTACAACAAGCGGAAGGCACCTGTTACGAGATGAACAAACCTTTGTCGGAACATGAGACACCACAGAGACTTTGCATTCTCGAAAACAAAGCTCTTAAATATGGCTTAGTAATTGGATAAAGTGAAAAATTACAGGCAATGATCTTGATTTATTTTTCTTTTCTCTCACCAGAGGTTAAAAACAGCAACAGAAAGAGGAGAAGATGCACATAGGAGAAGCTCGTTATGCCATTAATTGTCGTTAAAAATTAAAAAGCAGGCACATAAATAATTATGTGATAAAAAGCAAGCGCTTTGGTGGTAATACATCCAGATCAAGAACATGATGGCAAAGTCAGATATTACTTACATGTCCCCAGTTGTCGATCCCTTTGGTCATTAGTCCAATTGCCTGCAAGGAAAATGGTTGCCAGCACTAGATGAATTAGGACTGAAATTCGAAAAATAAAAAATACGAAAACAGATCAAACTTGATACTTATGAATCAATAGAGGTGTAAGCATCATGGTTCTCAGGTACTGAGCACAAATATGTGCAGTTTTTATGATTAATTTTCATTCCTTAAACCACTAATAGCATCTTCACCCTATGAAAGATCACAAGAACCTATAAATTTGAAGAATATGCTTAATCATAAGATATGCCCCAATTACTCGCTTGGCGAATGCCAACAAAAGTGCATTGAGCTGGGTAGGGAATGAAGTGTTTTACCAAATTTAGAACAATCACATTTGCTATGTATCGAAGATCCCCCTCGGTGCCTTTGACCATGCCCCTATGCCTCAAAACGAATACTGCAAAAGATCCAACCTGGTAATGACACAAAAACGTGGAGATCAGTATTTCTTAACCTGATAAATGAAAAAGAAGTCTAATTCTTTAATTTCATCAACAACTGTTCAGAAAGATGCATACTTAAATAAATTCCTTGTATTGGCCAGAAACACAACATCAAAGAAAATATATGTACAATGATAATTGAATCTTAAAAGTCTACTTTCTCGTGAACTACATACAACCCAAAGGCAAGTTCATTTTCCCAGTAACACTAATTAAGTCTGTGGCTAAGTAGTACATACATAATGGGTCTACAGAAGTGAAAAGAATTAGATATCAAGTAGTTGGATGACATAAGGAGCAGAAAATCATGAAATAGCATGAAATGATAAACCAAGTTGCATACATCAATTAGCAAGTCCAGTAAAAGTGCAAAAGAATAGCATCACTTACTAATCCAAAAATTGCTCCTGAGGCACCGACTGCAGGTGCCTTACTAAGCCAGTAACTCATAGCTGAACCTGATCTCTTTCATAGGATACAATTAGAATCACTGTATAATAGGAAGTTTCTTTGAAATAAAAATGTCATTGTGGTGATGTGTCATTACTTGCAATTGCAGACGTCAAGTACAGAGCAACATATCTTTTAGGGCCACTAACTTTTTCAACACCAGGCCCAACTGAATTCAAGGAATAACAATTAACCTGAAAGAAGCCACATCTGCTTCAAAACCTTAATAAGGGATGGATTTAGGAATCCAGGAAAACATGAAGTGAAGTCAGACCATGAGATGCACTATGTTTGTATGCAAGAATGACGAAGTAATCAGCCTCCATAGTTGCCCTTTGTCAATAAGACTGTTAATCTGCAAAGCATATCCATCAACCACACAAAGCACACTGTTAATATGGAAAATGATAAGTCAGCTATTTACATATTTAATCCAGTCTAACCTTAGCTCCCCAAAATAAAAGCTTGCCTTCTGTTGCGACTTGTGCAATATATATCCTGCAGTGATTTATATAGAAAATGTTAATTTCTCTTTGTGACAATAGCTCTTAGTCCATTATACCAATCAAGAAGGTGCCTTTTCTGCTTTTATTTTTTTCTGACATTTGCAAGAATGTTTTTCCTTCATTCAGAGAGGGTAAAGGTTAAAAAATTATAAGTACAAAAGCCTGGATCTTTCAGAAAACGGGTTCCTATTCAAAGATTACATAACCACATGATAAGCTCACACTACCCCGTCAATTTGGGATCCAAAGTCGAGAAATTCCTTGGGAGGTACCGACTTAAATAAACATTAATCCAAAACGAAAAAATCATTTTAAAAAAAAAGATAATAAAATCATAATATTCACATCGTTTTGGTAAAAAATGCAAAACTTACAATATGTTAAGTGCAAGGAATATGTTGGTCCATTTCCTTTCACTGGAAAAGAATGATCTTGATGACTTTGAGTATGAATTCTGAATCTTTCTAAATTTCCTTCTACTTTCATCAGCGCTGAAGAATAATAAGCTCATGTCTTCGGCAGAGAAGACATCCTGTGACCACTGAAGGATGTTGAATCCAGTGACATGAAGGGTCCATTTATGACATGCATCCTTCAATATAGGGCCATGAACATGACAAAAGATATGCTGCGGGGCAAGCAAAATGGCAGTTAAGATCTTGTCATTTCCAGAATTTCATGATACCCCTATTATAAGGAGACATGTAGCACATCAAAGCAAATCTGCATATCTGCAACGGGACAAGGTGACCAGGCCATTCAACATCCAGAGGACTCTCTTCAAAACCCTTAATCTTCAGTTCATTTTCTTGGACCCACATTAAAGATGAGGGTTTGTCATAGTTGACAGATAATCAAATTATAATGAATCATCAAATGGATACAGAGGATTTATACAGCCAACCCCAACTAATTGTTATTGACTGTAACAGATCAAAGTATTGCTAATGAATTCCTGTCACTCTTTTCCAAGATTCTGATAAGCAATACATCAGCATGTTAGCAAACATGACACAGGCCAAAGATATCAGCCTCGGTAACCGTGTGAACAGTGTCATTGCTTCAAAATTGCAAAAAAAATAAAAAAAAGGTCTGAAAGGTGAGTTGTAGTATGAACCCAGAAGTCTAATAATGCTATGCACTCACAAAATTAGATTGTGAACAGTCAGGATTCCTACCTAACCTACTGAAGAAATCAAGAAAGTATATTCTAGAGGTAAATTGTTGCACAAGTTATTTGTGTTTCTCACTGTTCTCTTCCATTTTTCCTGCTTGGATCAATTTGCACACAACATTCGAGAACTCAAGAGTTAATTCAAACATAAAAACATCAAGATCAAGAAGGTACCTTGATAGAGGATTGAAGACGACGGTGGAGGGCGTCGCCGAGGCGGAGAGCGGCGGCGTTGGTGATGATGTAGGTGGTTGTGGGACCCCATGTGGATACCGTCTGATGAAATTTGGGATTGGATGGAAGGGATGCCCAACCCGCCATTTCCATTCGGCTCCGACAAATATTCAAAACCCGAACCATATACCCGATATTTTAACGACTGCCAAATCGGTATTAATTGCTCTAACGCCCCTCGTAGTTTCTCATAAATTGCAGATGCACCCGATATAGTTTTATTTTGGGGTTAGGAGTTTAGGGAGGAAATTTGAAATTGGAGAACATATCGAATACATAAAATATATTTTTCTATGTATATACAATAACAATACAGTGAACAATTAAAAACATACCTAATAATATAATGAATACATAAAATATATTTTATATATATAAATTATAATTTATATTAATATATATTCAATAATTTTATAAATGAAACTAAATATAATCGTGAGATAAACGATCATTCCTTCACCTACCACAACAAATGAATTTGTTTATTAGTGGTATCATCATCATTCTAAAAAAAAAAAATACTAAATTTTGAGTTTGAGGTTGTTGATTGCCATATAATTTTGACCATGAAAGACAAATATAAATTTTGGTCCATAAAATCACATTGAACATGGAAAAAGTGGGGCTTCTTTTTCTCTCCAATTCTTCTATGCATATTTGTGCCTGAAAATAATTCCATCACTTTGATAGTACCCTTGAAATCTGTAAGCTATTAGTAAAGGGTCAATTTCATATTTAATAATCAATATATATATATATATGATGTAACACGTTCTTGTGAGCTTCTAGTCAGTGTATATAACTTCAATTCATTCATTTATTTTTTTGAGAAAGAAGGAAGGATAGATAGACGCATACCTTATAAATCTTTTTGATCCCATTCTCAGATAATTTCCATCCATCGAATTCAGAAAGATATATAGTTTTATCAACATACCTGTTTAGTTCCTATTGAAGCAAAGAATGATAAAAACAAACTACTTTGTACTGTTATTAAATGAAATAAGAAACCATTATCAAGAGAAAATCCAAGGATTCCACCAAGCTCTCCCTGCACAAAATTAAAAAAAAAAAGAAGAAAGTATTAGCAATATCTTATAAGTGTGTATAGCAGATAACTCGACCTACTTCACATGTCAGTGTATACAAGTTAAACTCGGAATATGTTACCTCTAGGAAAAGCAGAAGTTGTAGTCTCAAAAGTGTTAAAGTATCTTTCTCTCAAACTTGATATCAAACTAAAAGGCCAAAGAGAGGTAAGCTGAGTCCAACCCCAAATGAGAGGATTCTGTATGTTCTCCTCTTCTTCTTGTTGTTCATTAAATTCATAATTGGTACCAGTTTGATCCTCATTGTTTGAGAATCCTTGCAGTTGATACCGACAAACGGGACAAGTATTATGGAGTCTAAGCCATGGAACAATGCATTCAGAATGATAAAAATGCTTGCAAGGTAACTCTATAACTTGTATCCCAACTTCAAACTCATCCTTGCAAACAGGACAAACGGAGTCATTTTCCAACAGGTTTGGTGTCAGGACAATTCTTGGCAATGCATCGATTGCTGAAGATGGCGTTGGAGGTGGCCCAGGCCTGTCATGATCAATCAATTCTTGAAGGGATGGAAAACTAAACGCGTTCTCATCAGGAGAGACAGGCCTAACAGGTTGATCATCAGGGCCAATAAATTGGAGAATGACACGAGCACGTTGTCTAGTACTCCTACGATGATTTTCATCACCAATATCGCTGTTTAGTTGCCTAATTGGTGGATCAACCATGAGTGCCAAAGCATCAAGAAGGCGAGAATTTGATGAAGGTTGTGGTTGTAGCCTTGTAACATTAGAAAGTACAAGCCTAGGCCTTGTCACATCAAGTTCATAGAAAACTTGACTATAACAATGAGGACATAAAATTTCAAATGGATTGGCTGAGGTTGTCCTTATGGATCTTTGACAATGTCTACACCAATAGTAATGGTATGTCCTCATTCTCTGGACTCCATTGACAATAACTCGAGCGCGAGGGATGGTTGGCATGTTCTTTTATGTGAATGAAGAAAAGAAGGATAGCTAATTAGATGTAACAAAGACAGAAATACAAAGGCTTTTTATAGATGGTCTCAAGAAGAAATGCTTTGCATGGAGAGATTCTTTTTCTCTGCAGTTTCCTTAATACTTCATGACTTCTCCTGCCAAAAGTTAGGTATAAAGAGTTAAGACAAACGTATTGGCAACAGTAAATTGTGTTTTTAATTTTAATACATGAATTCTTTAGTTGTTTTTCAAGATTCTTGTATGAAAAATCATTGTAAAGCTTTAGATTTAGTTAATATCATATGTTGCATAAGACCTAATATAGTATTAGGTGTGCTACAAATATACATAAAGATGATGATAATATCATGAGAAACACAAACTCCGTGCGGGAGATTTATGGAGATTGATGAATTAAGATATCTAACTTTATTTAATAGTCATTTACATGGTATACACTCTCATAATATAGCTAAGTTTTCTTTTTTACTTTTACGTACAGTTTCTTGAGAGCCAAATTTTCTCAGGTTGAATTGTAAATACGTTCTCACTAAAATTATCCAATTTAAAAATTATTAATCTACTTTTTATTGAAAAAATTGGATTAAAAGTAAGACAAACATCACATCGGACTTTGAAAAATTGCTCATCTATATAACCCGTCAAAAGTTTAGCTCATTTATGTCGTTTTTCATTTTAAAAAAGGTATACTCATGCAATTTTTTGTTAACTGAAATGACATAGACGAGTTAAACTTTTAATAGATGATATAGAATAGCTTTTTTTTTAAGTTGGCTGATATATGTGAATATTATCCATCTTAATAAATAATTTAATTAACGACGTGATCGATAGACTTAAGGCATAATACATAAATGTGCCTTTTAACTTGACTTCAAATCACATTTATGCCCTTCAATTTTGAATTTGCACAAATAGACAGTTAAACTTGTATAAAGTTAAACAAATAGTTTTACAAGTCATTTTTTATCCTATGTATATTGTGTCACGTAGAACTCTTATATTTATTTATTTAACAAAGTGATTTTAGTAGATCATTTTTGAGTTAGGGGGTTTAGAGGAAAAAGCAAGTGGCAGCTCTGGATTGGGTTTGTGTTTACCTATTTCTCCTTCATCTTCTTCAAAACCTTAACTCCTCTCTCAACCTTTCCTTCTTTCTTCTTCAACTTCTGCAATCTCTACTCCCATTTTCCATTTTCTCCCATGAAAATTTATCCATAAAGTTTCATTCTTTCTATCCAAAACACCCCAAACAAAGAAAAATCAAGAATGTCTCTACCAGTATTCCAAACTGCACAAATCAAGCCTATCAATACCCAAATCATTCCTTACTCAAAACCCTTGTTTCCCCCTTTGCTCTGTAGCCAAATTAGAGTCTATAAAGTTTGTAAAATCAAGGCTACATCGTCGCCGGCAGTCGATGGAGACCCAGTTTCTGGTTTGGAACGTTGCTTTCAAGGGTCACCTGCGCTTGATCATCCGACGTCTTCGTCATCCTCTACGGTCATGTTTGCGCCAGTGATGAAGGGAGGAAAATATGGTGCGCTTGGTTCGGTTACTTTGGAAAAAGGGAAGCTTGATTTGTCATCGAAGCAGCAGACCAGCTCTACTCCTGAGGTTAGTTTTTCTTTTCCTTTATTCTAGGAAATCGAAGCGTTTTTTTCCATAGCTTCCCAGGTAATTCACTGGAACAGTCTCATCTTTCTTGAGAATTATCTCCTTGTGGTGTATTTATGCTAATACTCAAAACATTTGATCCTAGTTCTTGCTGATTTCGAATGGTAGTTGAGAAGGCTTTTCTAAGAAATAGGACTTGAAGTTAAGAGGCAGTGAGGTTCTTTTGAAGTTGAAGTTAATATAAAAAAATACGAGTGTTTGAAAATTTAGGGAGTTCCAGGGTTTTTGAGATTCCCCAACTAGCTTGGGTTATGAGACGTAGTTGATTGACTGGTATAGAGTTTTAGGAATTGCTTGCGTGTTCTCAGGCTCCTCATTTGTCATTTTCTTTATTCTTGGAGCAAGAAGAAGGTTATTTGTACCAGTAAGGCGATTCCAGTTGCCATTTACAATCGATTGACAAAAGTCTGGCCAACTCTGACAAACCTCAAACACTTAGATGCAAAGTGTCAAACTGCATCTGCTATCACTAAAATGACAATGTGTCCGAGAATTCATAATGCTGAAGTGGCTTATTAGATTTGAGATGTGTGTATGTGCCTTTACAAAGGTATCTTGTTGCCATTTATTCCCTTTTTAGCATCTTTCCTTTTCAATGAAGTAAAAGCTGGCAAAAAAAGTCGAATGCACTTTTTAATTCGGCATATATGATGTGAAATGGTGCTTCTGCTACTATATAAGATATTCAGATTCTAATCCAACTATGTATTCTTTCCGTCTCTGTCAAGATCTTAAGATTGATAACATTGTGGCTTGTGTGACTATTTAGTAAACACTTCGTCAAGCAAATTTGCTTATAATTTAAACACATCACAGCTTTCAACTGGCGGAGGAGGTGGAAATATGGGGAAAAATCTAAATCATGGCGGTGGTGATGGAGGTGATGATGATGGTGATGATGACGATTACTTTGATGATTTCGATGATGGTGATGAAGGAGATGAGGGTGGGCTCTTTAGGAGACGAATGCTACTGCAGGAAGTAAGACGCCTCTGCAAGTGGAAAATTGCTTCTGCTTAATTCTGGATTTTTTCAAACAGTGTCATGTTACTCACAATTTTTTCATGTTGCCCAGTTGTTTGATCGTAAATTTGTTGACGCCGTGCTGAATGAGTGGCAGAAGACAATGCTGGATTTGCCACCTGGACTTCGGCAAGCCTATGAAATGGTAAATTGCGCTATGCAGTTGTCTCAAACTTGTCTCGTTTGGTCGGGTTATTTCGTTTTCTAACTTTAACTTCTGCCTAATCATCCAGGGATTAGTCAGTTCTGCTCAATTGGTGAACTTTCTTGCCTACAATGCCAGGCCTACCGTGGCTAGATTTATTTCTCGGTTACTTCCTGAAGGATTATGTAGGGCGTTCAATGGCAGGTAATGTAGCACTTACAGTACTCTAAACTCCTCACAAGGAAAATATTTTGGACAAAATCTGCCTGATATATAAAATGTAGCGTCGTGACGGAAATATCATTTGCTGTGCAGAGTAGTTATTCTGTCTGTTAAATTAATTTCCTGTTGTTTTTATAAAGTAAAATATTAAGATCCTCTTTTTGTATCTTGCATCTTCAATTACGGTTCTTAGTGTTGCAGTCACTACTTTAAATCATTATTGTGTTAGCTTCACAGACATTTTTGAGCACTCATCTTCCTAGGCTTGTTCAAGATCACGAAAGTATTTTTTTTAGTGAAACAGAGCTGTTTTTACTCATTAGCCCCACACATTCCATCAAAACAGCTACACCGCAATAATAACTAAGAAAGCAAAGCTGAAAAAGGAATTTCTTTTTCTATACTTCTGCAGCCAAGATTGGTGTTATTATGGGATTTTTATTTTGAAATGAGATGAGTTGGCAGCGTTAATCATCACTTTTTAGTTTTTGGTTTTGATCTTCTGCAGAAGTAGGAACAGTCTTGTTTTATCTTTCAAAAACTGTAGGATATTGATAGTGCCAATTTTCCATGAATTCAAATCACTCCACTAAACCCATGTAAATTATAGAACTCTTCAGAATGTAAGTTGCTCCAGCTATAGCTTTCCACAAAGTTGAAAGCTTGTATAAATATTTTTGCCGTTGATAAATAGAACAAAAATTGAAAACAAGAAAGAAGACTGGAAAAATTGGTTGGTGGTTGAATTCGATTTTCTAATTTCATTGGGTACCATAATTGGCAAAAAGGAAAAAGCAAAATGTAACCATTTGTTTGAAGGGATGATGTGTCCCTAGATGCCTCACATCCCTTACCCCAATAGGAACAAGATTTAGATTTCCAAGTTTTCGTATAATACTAAAAGACATCTATACCCACACCTCTATAACATTATCTCGTTATTATTATATCAATTTTCAAAACAGATAAGGTAACCTCAGTCTCAGCTGCTCCATCATCCCCATTGTTGCCAGTGTTCAGTGGCAAAAATAGGAATCTCTACTCTGCTATACTGGCTTGTCAATCATTCACATATTTAAAGCCTTAGTATGAGCACTCATCTAATAAGACTGGGAAACTTTAGTGAAACAGAGCAGTTATTACTTATTACTCATTAGGCCCAAACGTTTATTGAAACAGCTACCCTGCAATAACAACTAAGAATCAAAGCTGAAAAAGGAAATTTCTTTTTCTATACTTCTGCGGCCAAAATGTGGTTATGTTATGGGTTTTCTATTTTGATATGAGATGAGTTGGCAGGATTGATCAATTACTTTTAATTTTTGGGGTTGATCTGCTGCGAGAAGGAGCAGCAGTCTTGTTGTATCCTTCAAAAACTTGAAGGAAATTGACAGCGGCGATTTCCCATGAAGATCAAATTGCACCAGCAGAACATATAAGATATAAAACTCTGCAGGATGGAGGTTGCTCTGGCTATATCAGCCTCAAAGTTGAAAGCTTTGTAAATCCATGGGGCAGTTTGACACCTAAGTCTATGTCATCTAAGCTTTTCAAATTTTTGTTGTCAATTGTTTGCTGTCTAAATAATGTATTTAAGTATTCAGGTTTTTACTGCATATTGAGTGACATCGCCAGCTGCCTAAAATTTTCTGGATTGTCTCTCTGTGACAGGAAGATAGCAGATCCAGCTTTTTTGAGCAAGCTGCTTCTGGATCAGGCACTTACAATTGGTTGCTCAGTGTGGTGGGAGGTAAAAAACCGTAAAGAAAGGTATGTTCTTTATTTATTTATTTAATGTTGTTTTTTTGGGGTGGGGTGGGGTGGGGTTGGCTTTTTTCCACACTTTGGGCATCCTTACTCTGTTCATAAATGTTACTTGCTGATAAAACACAATATAAGAGGATTGACTTAATGCACATGTTCTATTTCACTTTTATCTAGGATTAAGCAGGAGTGGGATCTTGCCCTTCTTAACGTCCTAACTGCAATGGCTTGCAATGCTGCTGTGTTTTGGACGCTTGCTCCTTGTCAATCCTATGGGAATACTTTCCGCTTCGATTTGCAGAACACTTTACAGAAGCTGCCGAACAATATCTTTGAGAAGAGTTACCCTTTAAGAGAATTTGACTTGCAGAAGAGAATTCATTCCTTTTTCTATAAGGCTGCAGAGTTGTGTATGATTGGCCTCAGTGCAGGAGCTGTGCAGGGTGCTCTTTCAAATCTTCTTGCCAATAAAAAGGAGGGAAGGTCAGCATTTTTTGGCTTATTGACCATTTATTTATACAGTTGGCCTTTTGGGTGGATCTAATTTTTCATGTAAGGTATGTCCATTGCTGATGGCTTCTGTTGATCATTCACTAGGTTATCAGTGTCTATCCCATCTGTGAGTAGTAATGCACTTGGTTATGGGGCCTTCCTTGGTGTATATGCAAACCTGCGTTATCAGCTGTTGAATGGATTTGACAGAGCTGTTTTTAACTACTTTGATGTTATTGGGGTGGCTCTCGTCTTCAGCACTGCCATGAGGTATTTAGCTGCATAGTAGATGCTTAGCTGCACAGTAGTTTACTCGGGCAAATTATTTTTTCTTTTTTTGGTTTCAATTTCCCTTTCCTCTTTTTCTACAATCAGTAAAAGTTGGTTATGTTTTCCTATTTCTGTTATTACTCGCTCTTCTGTCAGGTCTATAGTATCTTTTGAATTCTTGGGCTTCAGTACTTGATGACTGCACAGATTTTCATATTTTTTGTGGGTCTGTATGAACACTTTTTATCTTTACAGAAGAATTTTACCACCCGTATCCCAAGATTAGGTGAAATTATATGCAATTTCTTTGATTGGAGGTTGGGTATTATTATTGAATATCATTGATCTAGTAATCATACTGGTGTTTATTGATTTGATCTTTTCCAGTTCTCTAATATTTCATTGTATGCAGAGTGTTGAATGTTCAAGTAGGAGAGACATCAAGATTAGCTTGGCTTGGTGTGGAGGTGGATCCACTGGCTCATTCAGATGATGTCTTGAAGGCATACAGTAGGCCTACTGAAGGAGGGGTTGAGCAGTCATCTTCAAAATGGTTCATATCCAAGAATTCCATTGTTTCCGGGCTTGGGCTTTTGGGTATCAAACAAGGTCAGAGTGGCTCAACGACTGAGGGTGAAACATCAGCTCCTAAGGCTCGAAGAAAAAGAATAGTCAGGAAAAAGGTAGCAAGCTGAGCCTATGTAGTTGATAATAGTACTATTTACTGCTCAATTTTTGCAAACCCAAGCCTTGGATGAGGAGTTTTGGTGTAAAGCACCAATTGGCAAGTAAAGAAAGCTGAGATGCAGGTTTGAATCATGATCATTGGATCCACTACATGAGGAGGTGATTCTACTTTGGATGCTGCCGAAGCTGCTTCTCGGTTTTTCTCCTCATTCCTTAGTGGATTTTAGTAAAATGAGTATAAAGATCTAAAATTTGAAGTTTGCAGTGGCTAGGTGGTTGTAGGTACATTGCTGATCAATCTTGTTATCTTCATATGCTTGTAGTTTCATGGCTACTCTTTATCTTTTAACTGTTTTTCTTTGGCATCCTATGAGGATCATGTTTTCTTTTATTGTTGAGCAGGGATCAACTTGCCTGAGTATTGATCTAGGGGATAAGAACTTAGGTCATTTTCTGTTTATGCTTTTCCTATTCCAACCATGTACAATTTCCACAGCAGGAGTGAATTGGTAACTCTATCTATCTATGTTCATAAAAGTGTGCAACTGCCAAGAAGTTGGTATTTATTGTTATTATTATTCTGTTTAATATTCAAATAAACAGCCTTCATTTTTTTTCCACCCATGAATGTGATGAGCCTTCTGTTTCCTTTTCTCTTTTTAGGATAACTATTCTGAATTCAATGACAAACATATCTAGTGTAAGGAGTATAAATTATACATTAACTTTACTCATCTATTGAGAGGTAGGAATTATCCTACTACCTATTGTATTTTATAAAATGAGATAGCAATCCAATTAACCTCTTTCTGAAACTTTAATTTATTCATTTATCATAATTTAAGTAAAAAGTTTATATAAGATAGAAATATTGATCCTAAAGTCTAAAATGAGTGATATTGTCACTTTTACTTGTTTATTACTCCTTCAATTCATTTTTATTTGTCTAAAATAAATTTCATTTTTATCCGTCACTTTTAAAATATTAAAAGAAAAAAATTAAAATTCTTTTCATGATTTAACCTCAACATTGTATATTTTGTTTTGAAGACACCATTTTAATGAGATAGTTTGATAATTATTTTGTTAATGAGGGAGTAATATTGTAAAGTGGTTCGGAAGTATAAAAGTGAGCAAATAATAAAAAACATCAATCCGAAGGGATGACGTGTTCCTATAGATGCCAAGTCAATTTTCCTAATTGATTACTCTTTATCATCTCAAACAGATAAAGATCGCCGCCGGCGAACGGATTCAGCTATGGAAACTCTTGAATACTGGCTCGTCCATCATCCAATCATCACCAATTTCGAATGGAATCAAAACTCCACATTCGGTTCTTCACTTCTTTTCCTAGCTCTCACTGTCCTCACTTACCTCGCGCTCACTTTCTCTTTCCACTATTTCCCTCTTCTCCCTACACTCTCCCCTGCCTCCCTACGCTTCATCTCCGCCGTCCACAACCTCTTCCTCTTCCTTCTCTCACTAATCATGGCCGTCGGATGCTCCCTCTCCGCCTCCCACCAAATGCCCCATAATGATTGGACTTGGGTCGTCTGCTTCCCGGCTAATCACACTCCCCCACGTGGACCCGTATTCTTCTGGGCTTACATCTTCTATTTCTCCAAGATGGTTGAATTTCTAGATACCCTTTTGATAATTCTGAGCGGGTCTACATCTAGACGGCTGTCGTTCCTCCATGTGTACCACCACGCGGTGGTGGTTGTAATGTGTTATATGTGGCTTTCTTCCTCCCAGACTCTGTTTCCGGTGGCGCTTGTTACCAATGCTTCGGTTCATGTGCTAATGTACGCTTACTACTTTCTGTGTACCTTGGGATTTCGTCCATGGTGGAAGAGATTGGTAACGAAGTGTCAAATTGTACAGTTCGTTTTCAGTTTCCTGATTTCGGGTTTGATGCTGTATTATCACTTTACCGGGTCGGGTTGCTCCGGGATCCATGGATGGTGCTTCAATGCTGTATTCAATGCTTCCCTTTTGGCACTCTTCCTTGATTTTCATTCCAAAAATTATGCAAAGAAGAAGAAAGATGTCAAGCTGTCGTGATTTGCCCGTTATTGCTGAAAAGGAATGAGTCAATTTGACGTATCATTCGATACATACAACATGGCTTCTGATTAAAAGAAAAAAAATTGCTTCTTACCAAACATTTCTTTATTCCCAAAACTCGAATCAAATCGCAAACTAGTATCAGCTATTACTCATTTCAGAGTAGTTGGATTTGCTTGTAACATCATTATTTTGTTGAATGAATGGAAATAGATTGAGCAAAATTCACCTTCTTGTCTAACACTTTATTTATTATATTTTTAATGGGTATTCATTCAGCTTCCCTCGTAATACATTGTATAAATAAAGAAAATTTAGCCTATCACGATTCATACACACACTTATATTTATTATATTAGTAATGTTGGATATAAAAGCATATAAATAGTACTAAGAGACAATTGTAAGGAACACTTAAGTAGGAAAAAGAAATGGTCGGAGGTAAGGAATCGTTTGATTTAAGGAAGAAGAAAGGAAGCCTTATTCCTCTAAATGTTCATGACTCTCTTCTGCACGTATTCTTCTCTAACTTGATATACATATATATATTCACTTGTCTTTCACTTCTTCTTTAACTCACAAACTCAGAATTACTAGTGTTGCGTATTCATGGCTTCTCACTTTACTTCATTTACCAATGTTTGGTTTCTCTTGTTTGCTATTGCCTTGGGTAAGTAACATAATATATTCTCTCCTTCTTTCGCTTGCTTTCTAATGAAGTAGGTGTGGTTAGAGAGTTTTTCCTATTTATTTTCTCTCATGATTTTGATTTTTTTTTTCCGAATAGTAACACAATTTAGTGTGACAGGGGTAAAATTGTCCGAATGTACGAATATTACCATTATAAACTACTGTACAGAGACAGTATGGCCTGGAATTACACCTAAGAACAATTTCAGTGGAGATGGTTATGAGCTGAAACAAGGCGAGTCTGCTGTCTTTACCGCTCCGGCTGGGTGGAGTGGACGTATATGGGGTCGAACCGGGTGTGACTTTGACAAGAATGGTAACGGTACGTGCCAGACCGGTAGGTGTGGGACCGGCTTAAAATGTCGTGAACCGGGTCAACCTCCAGCTTCAATTGCCGAATTTACCCTTGGGGATACTGATTTTTACGATGTTAGCCTTGTGGATGGGTTCAACTTGCCTATAGTAGTAAAACCTGTAAATGGCAAAGGAAACTGCAGTTCTGTAGGCTGTGACAGTGATCTCAGACCAAATTGCCCTTCTGAGCTAGCTCTCAAGTCGGACGGCAAGACGATCGCCTGCCGGAGCGCATGTAACGTCTTCGACACCGATGAATATTGCTGTAGGGGCACATTTAGCAGTCCAATTTCATGTTTGCCTACAAACTATTCAACGATTTTCAAAACAGCATGCCCTGTGGCTTATAGCTTTGCCTTTGATGATCCAACTAGTATCATCACTTGCTCTTCTACTGACTATCTTGTGTCATTTTGTTCGTCAAGGTAAACAACTCTAATCCTTCTCAATTGCTCGATTTTAGCCCCCACCAGCACAAGTATTAGGATAACTCTGTCCAACAAGCCTTGGATAAAACGAAGAAATCATCGAGCATTTCTTGCCCTTACACACTAGGATGTTCTTTTGCTGATTTAAGATTCTGTGTGTTGGATAACAGGAACCAGAACCAGACACAGTGCACAAATCATGGCAAGAATGTGACTTGTAATGGAGCATATGGATTGAATTCACTCTTTAAAACAAGAGATATACTGATGGTTGGATTGGCAACAGTGATAAGTCTTGGAGGATTGATGTTTTGACATAATATTGTACAGATTCTCATCTTTTTGAGCACCTGTTGGCAACTACATTTACTTTTCTCATTCTTTAGGATTTTGATTCCATTTCCTTGTCTTTTGAAATTTTGTTCACTAGTGTGAAAACATCAAAATTTGGCCATTTACACAAAGTGCATAAGCTTCAAATTCTCAGAGCAAAACTGTATATATGGAATATTGTTTTATGCTTTGAAGGTGATAAAATTCCAGCAACTCCCTACACCCCTACCACCACCAAAAAGAAAAAGAAAGAGGTACTGAGATTACAGGAAAGAAGTGTCTTCTATGGTAACAACTTCTAAAAAGGCCATCTTCAGCCAACGAATCTTAAAAGGGCCATTGACGAAAACAAGACACTCTTATGCTCTTCCACCTTAGCAGAAGCAATTGCCAACACTAAATAGCAGTCAGGAACTTTTATCTATTTTTCTTGATGTCGTGCATTGATTAAAATCCCCCAAGAGAAACTATTAGACGGATATATAATATTTATCATATAAAATCAATCACATTTATATCATGCATGTTCCAAGGAGGCTAAACTACGAAATCCCACCCAAATGATACTGTTTTTAAGGGCAAAAAACAGTTTCTGCTTCAATCTTAGAACCGTCACACCAGCTGTAACCACCTACTATAAAGAAAAAAGGAAAAAAAGAAAAGAAAGTTACCTAAAAGAAGATTTACAATAACCTACTGCTTTAACTGTTTCTCTGGTTTTACTACGTCATTGCTGGACAACTTTCTTTGGTTTGGTGCATCGGACTCATCTTCCTCGAATGGTAGTACAACAACTGGGGTGGCAGGCACTGTTTCCCATCGCTCCTTAAGAAAGCTCATGAATCTCAAAACCATTTGCCTTCGAAACGCGAGTTCTCGGGTGAATGCATCAGAAATCAGGAAAGCAGCTATGTACTTGAATGGAACAATTAAGAGAATAGTTGCACCAAATAGTAGAGCCAGAGCGACTTCCATCGTAATCTGACGGAGATTATGAAAATTAACTCAATTAAGTAAAAAACAGATATGGAGTGTTTAGATAAAAATTAACACTACAACTCTGAGGTGCAAGCATGAAAAGTAGAGTAAGCATTAAGAATTAATTGAGCCCCTAAAATAATTGCTCAAAGTAGACCATACCATAAACAAAGAGAGAAATGATTTGGACATAATCTCATCAAACTCAAAACATGCACAACTGAGCACCTAAACAATTAAAAGAGATCATCCAACATAACAGAAAATTTTAAAAAGAGCTATTACTAATTGTTAGATGTGGTTCACATTAGGGGCTCAGGGACTTTTTGAGTGTTCAAGATCTCCATTGTGATGAAGTTCGAAACCAGGGTAAGGGAGCAGGAATTTGACCCAAAGAAATTTCTAAGGAGATAAGGCCCAAGTCTAGTGCTACTATAGTGGAAAAGGCAACACATCATATCAACTCTCCTTATATAAAAGGAGGTAACTTTTGGTCCCTCATGAAAAAAGATTCAATTTAAATTATAGAGCAAAATCTCAATTTTGGTCCCTCATATACCAAGTTCAAACATTCAATTCTTTCTTACTTGCATTTCTAGTCAAATATTTAAGATAAAAATAAATGAATAAGGACAGATCCTTCTTTTTTGTTTTCAGAATAAGTTTATATTTTGGGTTCATAACTTAATAGCTTCTCTTTATAGTCAAAGAATGAGGGTAAGGAGGGGGGATGTGGCGAGAGGATTATCGGCATTGAATTAGAGTGATTAGAGTTGTGAGTAGTCAGCACTAGGGATAGAGCAGCAAGTGGTTCGGGATGAGGAAGGTTCTTGTGAAGATGTGTGGAGCTGGACAAGGGCGCAGCCTGTATTTTCACTAATGCCTATCAAGAATGAAATGGTTCTAAAGCAAAAAGAAACTTTCAGAGTTCAAGTATACACTGATTAGTATTCTAAATACACAGAAAAGAGTCAAAGATTTTTGTTTTGTTAGGTAACGTTTGAGTGAACACCTCGACAACTAATTTATCTACTTAACTTGTTCTAATATCTTTTCGAAGTAGCTATCATGAATCAAATAATTAAAGACATGTACTCTTGCTGGGGCTATTAAGAAGTTTCACACTCCTAAGATTTTCTTAGCATGCATGTCGGTAGCACACATCTCAGTGGCAATATTGTTCAGATCTTCCTTTGGCCACTGAAAGAGATAGAGACCTGTTTTCGTTGTAATCTAAGTTAGATTGGAGGTACCTGAGGTTGACCAGCAAGAATAATTGCTCGAATCTTGAGCAGCGACACATTCAAGCTCTGCATATACTTCTCAACTTCACGCAAAGCCTCTTTAACTGCAATAATTTTCTGTAGAGTATTTGATGGTGGTTGATCACGTATGGTTACTTTTCCAAAATATCTTCCAAGGCGGCCTTGTTCCTTGAGCCCCTTAAGTAATAACATACCAGCAGCCAAGCCCATCAACATTGATGGTAATATATAAGATAGCATATTCCTGATCCCAGAATACCGAGTGTCAAGAAACTCAATGTAATTAAGACAGATAACTAACCACACAAAGAATAACTTCCGGAGCATGCTCAAAAACAAAAGTAACTAATTAAAGAGTCAGCACCAAATTACCATGATCCATTCCTATCATGTATATATATTCATGTGCCACACTCACAGGACATTGTACATTATCCTTCTTTTTATTTTGAAATGGTAAGTGAAGATATCATAAATATAAACAGTTTAGTTAGGTTCTTGAACATTGTACATAATCCTCTAAAACAACAGACAATTTGAAACTTATACAATGCAATATTTTTCCAAATGCACACGGATGGGCAAAAATTTAAGAGTAAAACACAATGTAGCATTCAAGAACCTCCGCATCCTGCAAAAGGAACTCTTCAATCTTCAAAATTGTATATGTACATGGTTTTCAGAAGCTGGTTTTTAGATGACAACTGTGAAAATCATTTGGGACATTTAGAATGGTAACTTAAACAGTCCCTTTAATTAGCATAAATCTAACATAAAAGTTGCCTGCAAGATAGCAACAAGCCCAGGAGATCGCAAGTTCATATGGTTCCAGAAAAGACAAAAATCATGAAGATCATTAATGAAATTTTCATTCACAAGAAGTTTTCTCCAGAGACAAATATATTCATTTGGACTTGAGAGGTCATATACGTATTCTATAAAATGCTCAGTAAACACTTAGGTGTACAGGCAAACCAGATACTGATGGCCAATACCAATGCACTCTACCTGAATATAATCGTATATACGAGTGCAAGAGAAGAGGCAGTTAATAGGGGATCCTCCCAATGCCTAAGTTTCTCAAAGTTTTTTACCACAACTGTTAAAGGAAACACAAGTTCCTGCCAATAAAGGGGAAGAAAATTAAAATTCAACATTACTGATAAAAGAATAAACTTCTAGAATTAGAAAAACACAGACAACATACAACAAGGCTGAAATTGTAAACCCAGAGAACATAACAAGATGTTCTAGCCAACTTCTTTCAAGAAAGAAACGAAAAAACAATATCATTAGTAGTTTTAATATTCTCAATAGATAAAGAATACAGTGCCACATCCCTTTCACATAAGCTCTGGTCCAGTTTTCTTCCACATCGTCACTATGTAAAATGACAGATGACTGTAGTAATGATAATTATTCCTATTTAAGAGGAAAATGTTCCAATAGTAGTGTTATAGTCAAGTATTAACAAACAGTACCGCCTCCCAGGCCATAAGCCAATTATGAGAGAGTCAAATTCATCTAGGCTGGTTGAGGCTTTAATATCCACAATTTAAGACCATTGATTTATACCTTTCAATTCATAGTACAAGCTCTTAAGGTTGTTTTCTTTTCTTTTAAGCGAATCATGGTTGGTCTTTTTCCTTTTCCAAATTATGGTTGAACTTTTACCTTTTCTTCTTGAAGGGAAAAGTAAAACCTGGCTAGATTTTGTATCGCCATGGTCCAACAGACTAACACTCAATCCAAGTGAAGGAATTCCTTGAAATTTCAGTTCTAAGGAAAAGAAAGAAGAAAAGCTGCCTGATTTTAAGCCATAGCCATAAGCACATCGTCCATGAAACAGTAACAATAGCACCTTCATTATTTACTGGCTAATTGTATCTTCCCATAATACAGGTAGGGTAACTCCGTCCACCAAGACTTGAACAATGGAAAGTACCCAAATTCTTTTCTCTCTACGAAATTTGAACCCTGACCCCCGTCGGTCTTTGTTCTAACTCCATCGACTGCTAGGTCATGCCTTTAGGTATAGTGAGGCTTCTATAATTTTGCCGATCACAAGATAGTATCAACATTTCTGTCTATCTTGCACAAAAATTAAATCGCAAAAGTCTAAACTTATCCTAAGCAACAACTGATGATTTTTATACAAAAAAAAAAAAGAAGTACTGCAATGCATGTTTATACTTAAAAGATTCTTGATGCTTATTGCAGGTACCTTTACAGGACAATAAGCAAAATAAGGACTTAGATGGATCACAAAGAATGAAATTCCTTTCAACACTAAACTCTGGGCAAAAAAGTAGCATATTCTAAACCAAGTCTGAGCTTACATTGAAGAATATTTAAAGTTCCCATCACACATTAGTTAAATTTCTTTGTATTTCTATTTTTTCAAAAATTTCTAATATTAGTGCAAGTCCTATCAGAATAACATATCTTTAAGAAATATAACATGCTTATTGCCCTAACTACAACCGAGAATTAAAATATTTAAACGCATGATCCATTTTTACAAAAAATGTTAAATTATTCTGGAGTTACGGGATGCATAAATGCCAATTAATTAATCCAAAAATCAGAAAAAATTGCAGACAGAAACAGCAGAAAAGGAAAGGGACAAGATAACCTTAAAAAGGTCAATGTTACTAGGTATCCCTTCAATCATTGCTGCGTCAATTGTGGCTTGCGTTTTCTCTACTACTTGATATTTATCTCTACATATCAATGCTGCTTTTTCCATCAAATTTATATCAGCGACAACAAGATTTTTACTGAAAACTATTCCCCGTTTCGATCGGGGGTTCTTCCAGAAAGCAAGTGAAGCACTAGAAGCCCATGATGGAGACTTCATCCACTTCTGCAGGTACACACTTCCATCTATGTCAAACACATAACTACTACTTTCTGTTGTATCATTTGTGGATCCAGGTGATCCCCCTGATTGATAATCTTGATCAGTTATTTTTGCAATCAATGGTCCACCCCAACAATTAACTGCTAGAGTTTGTAAAACGACGTCACCATAAGGTGCATTGTACAAATATGAGAACTGAACCAATTTAGTTGGCTCCTCCAAGAGCTTTCGAGCATATTGAAGAGCCTGAAGTCTCTTAACAGCATTGGTGGCATACGAAATTGCTCGTGCCTTCCCTTTCTGGGAACCATAGACATTGTATGCGGATGGATCACCTTCCTCGGGACCAAATTCTCGTATGAACTTGTATAAAGCAATTACTTCACTGATGCATGCATACCACACATCCCGTCTCATTTCTCCTCCAAAGTCGACAAATTCTAATACCCATGTATCCGACCTGATATGAGTACAACAAATTAGAACATAATAAAACAACACAAATTTTTTATCAGCTAAAATTAAAAAGCTGGATATTTCATATATCCCATTCTTAATCAAAAAAAATGAAACACAAGAAAAATCAAATAAAAGCACATAAATTAAATGATAACTTGCTCTCCAAAAGGATTTTGCAGAGAGAAGTTGACATCTAAAAAAAGCTACAGAAGCAAAATAAATGAATAGAACAGAAATTTTATGAAACTTCACTTCCAGTCAGAGGACCTGCATAGTCAACTACAAACATGAGAAAGGACAAACGATTTTTGGATCAACACGTCTAACATGCAAAATGTAGACTCCAATGAAAGCATGAAATTTGCCTATTAATTGGGATGATGAAGAAACTTGGAAGATTTCTATACACATGGCCAAATTGAATTTGACAAAGTACCTAATAAGATAAATCGAGAGATATAACGACTCAGATCGGGTGCAAATTACTAGTTAGTCATATGATAACTTTGGTGATTAGTTACCATACTTCCTTTTAAGATTGGCTGAAATGGATATGTAAAACTTGAAGTTAGGATTAGGGGTGTCAAATGGATGGATAATTAACCCCCACAAATGTTACTTTGGCTGAAATGGGTTGGGGCAAAATGGGCCGAACGATGGTTCATAATAGCCTAACCGGCCAACTCCTACCATATTTTAATTTCCTAGTTTTCTTATAATTTGTTTAGTTTCTTAATAAGACATTTTTGTTTATTATGGCTATATACAACAAATCAAATGATAAAACAGGCAGATACAACTCCTTGCCACACTTCTAAAGCTAGATCTCTTTTTATGGTTATTTAGTTGGCAGAATTTTGCCCCTGTAGATTGCCCTATTAACTTGTTGGATTTTGGATTTCTCCTTCCCGTTTTGTACTTATTGCACCTTCTTGATGCCTATCATATAGAATTTCTTCATAAAAAAAATAGTTGACACAGGCAATCCCTTTTTTTGTCTCTACCAGATAATGACAATGGTCTATACTAGATGTGATAAAACAGAAAGAAGTGCAAAAGTGAGCAGTAACTTTTGGAAAGCTATTTGTTCAAAGGATGTCTGTGATTTTTAAGAACCTAAAACAATTGACAGGTGGCTATTAAATGTATGTACTTTCATGAAGTTGGGGCCTAATTTGAGGCTCTACTTAAGGCTTGGGAGATGCCAACAAAAGTTCTTTCCATTGTAAAACCGAAAGGAAATAGTCCACATGGGATTGGTTGGAGAAGCTTACTCACTGAGGCCCTGAAGTGACAGATACAGCAGAATCTAAAAAGTCAAAGCCCAGAGGCCCAACTCTTGTTCTCTTTATGTGTGAACCTTCTCCTGTAAGATCCAATCTTGATATTTTTCTTTTCCCTGTCAAACCAACTGCCTGCAAGACACGAGAATTGAGTATACACTATACAGTATGTAATGTGCAAACTGTTCAGCTAGCCAACTCAAACAAATTATCATCATCCATTTGCCTCAATTTTCACACCTTAAAAGGAATTACCAACTACCGTTTACATTCAAGAATGATGAAATTGCAAGACAAGAAAGAACTTTCTATCAACAGTGATGGTTAGGACATCTCATGAGACCTTCACACGGTTCTTTGGATGTATATAATTATTAAGGAGTACCTCAAAGTAAAGGGCCCTATCAGTCAAAATAAGTTTTCCTGGCCATGCCATATTATTCTCCCATTTAAGAACAGGGTGTTTTCCACCAGAAGCAATGCACAAGATTCTCTCATTATGGAGCTGGGAGAGATCTTGAAACTGGTACGACTTCCTTCCTTCATGCACTCTAAAATAAGAAAAGAAATATCAGAAAAATTATCATGACTTCCAGATTTCAGGCTTAGTTAAGAGTTCTCATCATAAATAGAATCAAAATTGATAGTAAATTTTCCCCCAATTACTGAAAAGGATAGAACTACTGTAAATACTAATAAACCCAAGCAACTAGAATGTTAAGACAACAAGAACTACTATGCCTCAGCCCCAAACAAGTCGAGTGAGGACCATATATCTCCATTTAAGTTCAACTGATGTCATCATCATACAAAAACAACTAGAGTGTTAAGAAAATGAAAGAAATATTCAGAAGCTTTGTATTCGTGTGAATGCTAAATACTTTCCCTATTCAGTTCTATGTGATAAAGTTTACTTCTCATAGTCAACAGCTACATATCCAATATAGTCCCACAAGTGGGGTCTGGGGAGTGTAAAGCGTACGCAGACCTTACACGTACCTTGTAAGGTAGAGAGGCTGTTCCAGAAAACCCCTCAGCTCAAAGAAAGCAAAAACACAACTCACTTCTCATAGTAAAGTGGAATAATTTTCTAGCATATTCTTTTACATGGATTTAATAGTTTATTTTTTTAAAAAAAAAAGAAATATTTCTCGGTAGTACAACAAATTCTTTTGGGATTGTAACAATTTAAATTTCAGGAAGCAAAAGCCAATAGGAGTATGCAATCTACCACGACATTGTATTTGACAAATTAGTAAACTACATATTCTTTATCAATTATGATGTTTTGTGTATGTGAGCTGATAATTGACCATAAATTTGAATTGTGCAATGACAGAAGAAACTTCTGTACTCAAAAGAGAGGATGCTTACTTGAGAAGTTCACATATGTATGTGGACCATGAGGAAAATGTGATGCCTCGATCATTACCAGCAAGAGCTTTGAAAAGATTGTGTGCTGTTGTCCAATCAGCTATACCAGCAACAGCAGGAGCAATACGAACAAAAGCCTCTTCGCCTACTAGTCTCCTCTTTAGCTTCAGCAGAAACAGATACGTTTAGGTTTGACTCAACTATTTGTGTTCATAGTAAGAACTACTCAATGAAGTACAATCATGAAACGCATAGTTAAGAACAAATATAACATATGAATAATGGAGAAACCACTTTTCCAAAATTGCAAATATTAATATCCTAGCAGATTAGGGAGAACTTATTATTTTGATAGTCATGCAAGAAAATTAGTATACATGGGAAACAAAAGTGAGGTCTGCTATGACTGAGAACAAAAGTATTTTGCTCCTCACAGCATCCACCTCCAGCCTCTCCTTTCCTAAATCTTCTTCACTCTCAGCAATTTCTTTTGTAAATTTTATAGTTACATATATATATAATTGTTATTGATATTGCCACCTAAGGGCGTCCACCCTATAAATCCAACGATACAAAAGTTTAGAAAGAACTAGCCTTACACCAGCCCAAAAAGTGACGAGATAGAAGTGAATCTAGCTACTACATCTTCACTTACATATTTAATACTGTGTGAAGCTTTTCCAGTTTATTCACCCCTAAAATGCACTATTATCACAGCAAAGGCATTTTATCATCCGCCGTTTTACAGCACATTCACCCATAAACTATTCACTGTTTCAGTCGTAAGTTTAAATGTTTGAGATTGTTCTAGGAAAACAATAAGCAGCCTCCAAAAATTATACTCTGTTTAGTGGGAAGTTTGTTAGAACTTCAACAATTCAGTTTGATCTGACTGCACAAAGGGAAAAAAAGACCTTTTATCCATCTATCCTGCTCAAATCCCAATCTATCAAATCCAAGTTAGAAACCCAGGGAGCAGCACCAGCAAACCTCAGCTTAATTGATTAAATATAATAGGCATCTTTACTGAAATCTAAGTTGCCCGAAGTCTTCTCTTTTAGTGCCGCACCCGTGTCAACACGACATGGGTGTGGTGTCGGTGTGGGATCCATGTCCGATTTGGTCAACCGATTTTGGGTACTTTGATCAAAATCGATGGAGAAAGTTGGACAGTTTTAATGATTTCTATAATCAATACAAAAGCTAAAGTGAAACTAAAAAAATGGAATACCTTCTATATAGAAATTTCTGTGTCACTCATTTTCCTTTAATCTCCTTCCAAGATTCTCCTCAAGTTCTCCATATAATATCTCATAATTAAGGTTTTATAACTCTATTTTAGATATTTTAATTACATTTAGGCAAATCCCTGCATCCACATCCATACATGGATTCATATCCCCGAATCTTAAAAATTAGATCATGAAGGATCCGACCTCTAGATACGCACCCGTATCGGACAGCCGCACCTGAGTCCGAGCAACTTAGAATAAACAAACCATTGAAAGGAATAGAGAAGGTTGGCATATAAAGAATAACCTACCCTCCTTCCACACCACAAGTACAAACTGGAAAAAAAAAGGCAAAAAAGAGAAAGAAAAGACAGAATATATGCCGATTCTTGGCAGAGGCACAATGATTAGAGGTTAAAAAGATGATACCAATTGACCTTATTAGTTCTAGCGCATATAAATCACCAGAAAGTTTTCTTCTTTGGCAGATCATCAGAAGAGTGATATAAGATGCCACAAAATTGTGCGTGATTGCATCTTATTTATCCATCAGCTGTCTTTGAAAATGCATCTACAGTTAGATTAACAGCTTGACACTGACAGCCTAAAGACAATAACCTACCCTTAAAGTGGCCCATGTCATGCAATATCATTTAGAACGAGATCTATAGAGCTAAAAAAGAACCTGGAGAGTGTGCTTCTCTGCAAATTTAACTCGGGAGTCTCCTCTACTCCTGTATGGTTGCTCCCACGCAAGCATAGTTACGAAAATCAGTCTCTGGAATGCAGGTTCCTGAAATCACATCTAAATATATTAATGAATAATGAGTGAGTAGAGATAAATCTTATCTTTTACAACTCATCCCTATCTGAAAATATTGAGTTAATAATTAAAGAGAGATTTCAAGCATGGAAAGAAAAACTAACTGGAACCTTCCTATTCCTACAGGACCTAGGAGAGATTTCAAGGATGCTATCAGTGTTTTACTTCTTTTCTTCCATAATCTAAAAAGTTTAAACCAATATTTACTGATCCAACTGCAACTTTCAGATTGTGCTGAATCGACGGAATAGCAAAATTTCATTCTTCATCATAAAAGATAGTATCAAGCTAGATATTGAAAGAAAAAAAACTATCAAAAAGATATTGAGTTCACTTCTATAAATTGAAACCAAAAGTAGAATAAAACAGTTTAACTGGATCACAACTCACAAGGTACTTCAACTCATCTAAGAGTTACATGTTCTATTCTTCAGCTGGGGTTTGTCTACTGTAGATCATCAACAAGCAGAGACCACTTGAGGAATAGGGCTCAATTATACAAGAAACTCTTTCTGATACTCAGAAGCTAATAAATGGAAAATTGGGCTCTCCATAATAGGATTGGAGGGTGTGGGATAGAGAAGCAAGCAGAACATAAGACTCTCCAAAAAGAACTTCAGTTTCATAAAGGAAAAGAATACACGTTATGGTCTTAAGAAAAAAAACTGATGAAAGACTAGAAAGGAAACACATAGGTAAGCCAGCAAACCTTCAGGCAAGGATGAAGGACAGAAGTATCCTTCGACAGAAACCTAAAGCTGCAGTACTCAACCAAATTGCGAGCATCACTATGAACAGATTCAGGAACAAGTGCTTCGAATATCTTCTGCATTTTCTGCCCAGTCAATCCGTTCATCCTGCACATCTATCAGATGTCATATACAAGACATTTCAATTTCAACAACATATATTTACTCATCATTGGTTTGTTGGGCATTGAAGTTAACTGCACATAGAAACATTGGTAAGCTCACATCCACAATTTTAACACCCAATTGCAAGAAGAACTACCTAAATGGAGCAGAGGCTGCAAGGACAAGGATGTGCAAAAAATGTCAAAAGACTTTTTCATCGCCTAACTCCAAGAATATTAAAACACATGTTTCACAATATCATGATCAACTATTTTAAGTTTATAAGACTTCTTCTTTAAACCAATTAAACTATCCACACAACATTTCTACCCTCAATACAATAGCAATAACAACTACTTCAAATCCACCCTAGCTAGTCAGATTCATGAATCCTCTTATCCACCGGCGTGTCATTTCAGGCACATTTCATTCTAATACCACTAAGTTTATTTTAGGACAACAATTAAAGGTCTTCCAAAAATTGAAACGAGTGAGCCCATTATCCCCAAGTTGACCAAGGTTGTGTTTGGTCCTAAACGATTGGCCTCAGATAGATTTCTCAGTCATAAAAGTAAAAAGGGTTTCTAAAACTGAAGGTTCTCTGAACATAACTCATCCCTAAACAGACATATTAATCTCTAATCAAACTAAACAAACTCCTGACCGGCACCAAACCAAATATAAATGTACCAACACTGAACAAACCCTTATCTCAACTAGTCGGTATTGCCTATGTGAATCCTCTACTTCTGTTTTGTTCTCTTATTAGTTAACTATGTATGAATCTCAAGAGAGTACACAGCCACCCTCCACATTCCATGATTTTAAGTCTCTCTTATTCCTTTACAACTCTTTTTATCATCATAGTTTTGTATATATAGACTGGGGTATTTGGATGTCTACTTAGGATAATGACCAAACCAAAAATTGTGATTTGGATAAGACTTCGAAAGTTTCCTCATCAAGAAGTTTTGCACTCCTAACTAGTAGTTCTATAAGATGCCCAAGTTTGGGATGTGCTTAAATGTGCCACATGATGAGAGGTAAACATTATTTTTCCCCCTCCATCGCATTTTTTGGGATGAAGTAGGGATAATTTCATTAAATAGATCAAGAAGATGCAAACAAAAGATTACATGAAAAAGATATATTGTCTGCTCATATGCAAAAGCTAGTGTATACTAATCACAGCTAGATACAGGGGCCTAATTGAGCCGACAAAATAAGTTCAATAAGCACTTAACTTTTTTAAGTACAGGAGTAGGAGTTCAGATCCCATCCAAACATCTATAATTTCTTTCATTCCATATGCACCAAAAAAATAGAAGCAAGGCACACCATTAACCAAGTTTCTTTTGGATGGATTTTCCAACTATCCATGAATAATACCAGATTTCATATGCTTCATGATACTATTAGGCAAGACCCAGGCTAGTCCAAAACAGGAAGAGCATACTCCCCACATCAGCTGCTAAAGTACAACGTAGAAATAAATGTCTAACTCTTTTAGAGACTATCACAAATTTCAAGAATTTAAGCACTTCTTTAAGGACACTTAACTAATCAATCAAACTTTAATATGATGATTTCTCTGTTAAACAAACATTGCATGTGTTGCCTTAATACCAACTACCACTTTTGTTATATACAAGTCAAATGAACATTTTGAATTTCATGTCCAATCAATGGTTCACCTAAATTGAAATGCAGGAGAATTATCATGAACCTGACTTATCAAAAACTAGTCCGAATACATAATTTACCTGACCTTGAGGCCAAATCCCTGTGACACACCTTTTCAACACAGAAAACCCTTTACACACCCAACTTTTCCAACCTTTCTACAAAATGTTCAGCAGACATAAAGAGGCGGACTTCTTGATATGAGAAGATGTCCTAAATTACCTTAAATCTACTGGGGGTTGCCCTTTTGGCAGGATATTCATCACAACACACAGGAACCCAACAAAATTTACAGCAGGTTGATAGACACATAAAATTAAGCAGTTTGATACAGAAATAAGTGGTTCCAATTATATGAGACCATAAAATGTACTTACCTGCTAAATTGATCAATCGAAAGAATGGTAGCTACAGAAAGATCGCCATTCGGTGTTTGGCTATCGACAGTCTGTTCAGCCATGAATACTTCCTCCGTATCTTGCGTATCATCATGAAAACTGGTTCTTTTATCATTTACAGTTTTTACCAGTGGTGAAGTGACTTCATTCCAAAAGTTGTGTGTCTTTGACAGCCAGTGATTTACTGATTCTTGCACTGTACCTGTAAGGAACCACAATATACTTTTAAAGTATTCTCAGACAAGTGGGACCAGGCTTAAAAGTGTGACTGACTTCAGCTTTGCAAATGTTTTGGAGAATATTCATCATTTATTAACTAATTGATGCTATGATTTAGTAAGAAGCTCTTGTTTTGCTACATTGAAGAAGTGGGATTGGGAGACTTTGTTACCACCAATCCACCGGTAAACTCCCACTACCTTGAAAAAAATTGGGGAGCACAGCCTTCAGTGATAACAATATGCTCCAATATCCTTAGCCTTGAAAATCTAATTATACCTCTTCATCCTCCCCTTCCTTTCTTCATCATGCATTGCACTTGTAGTTCTGACATTATTATATTGCATACAGAAGCTCATTCTGTCTCCTTTTTCAATTTCAAACTCCTGAAAGAAGTCTAAGCGGTTTCCTGGATGGTTTTAACTAATTCGGCACTTGGGTATGAGTAAGACTTAGGTGCAAATTCAGTTTCAAAAAGACTTAGGTGCAAATTCAGTTTCAAAAAGACTTAGGAGCAAATTCATATAGTATATGTATTTATTTCATATACTGGATAGGCCATCACTACCAAGAACGATACAATTCATTCTACACCACCTCGTCTTGAATCTTGAATCTTATTTCTTGAAGTCTATTATGGATAAATTGAATCGTTGGTCTATTATAATATCATATGGCAAATTAAAGCTCTATTTTATAGGATTTCCGAATCTCTTACTCACTCTTAAGTAACATAGGAAGTCCCAAACCAAACTAATCTTAAGAATTGGACCTAACTAAACGAATCTTGAAATCTTGAATCATGCATGGTAATCTTAAAATCATGAAACCCTATCGTACATGGAAAGAGCAATAATAAAGAAATTGAAAGAAAGGGTATATTAAAGCTCTGTTTTATAGGTTTTCGGAATCTCCCACTTACTCTTAAGTAAACATAGAAAGTCCCAAACCAAAACTAAACTCAACAAGTTGGACCTAACTAAACGAATCTTGAAATCTTGAATCATTGTAATTTCTTTTTTTACTTAAAGAAATTCAAGAAAAGACCAAGAATAAAGAAATTGAAGAAAAGGGTAATAATGAACTCACTGGCATCAATATCTTTGAACTTCCACTTCCTATCACCCCCAAGATTAAATCTGAACTTATGCTCCGACGACGAAGAAGAAGATGAATTGTTGGTGCAGCAAAGAGTCTTGAACAAGAATGGATGATGAAGACGGTGATTGACTCCACAAAAACCTGATGAAGAACTAACTAATTCTACTCCTACAACAACTTTGCTGTGCATCTTTTTCAACTTTCAACAACAATTTTCATCTTTCTCCGATGAATTTGATTATTTTTTTTCTCTATGTTTTTGGAGAAGACGGTAAATGTTACTATTAGTTTTAGGAGGATCTGATGTCGAAATAATTAATAATGCATTTTACAGATAGTTTATACTTACTTATAACTTCTTTCAACACTTCAAGTTCCGAAAATTCAAATTTGGTCCCTTAACTTCCAATCTTGCCTATAATCTCATAGATATTTCTGTTACTCAAAAAGAAGTCGTTATAAAGCTTTTCTAAATGGATAATAATTATATAAATGAAACTTTAAAATAATATTAATTGCTAATCGGAGTATGTAACATTATAGTATGTTTCTAAATTTGAAAATTTTTAAGAGTAAATATGTGTATCAGAGAAAAAGTGAGCTTTAGTAAAAAAAAATGTATTGAACCATAACACTGAGTAAAATCATAACGACAAGAATGATTTCCACTATATGGAAAACAATGGGGAGGAGTTGCTCTAGGTATGTAGTAATACGCCTCAGCACTAGCAATCAGACATATATACCATAAGAGCTTCATCCAGAGTTTGAAAAAGATTGTCTTATAATTGAACGCCTTCATAATGACGAGAGAGAGATCAATAGACAATCTTGAGTCGTAATAAACTTTAGATGAAGCATTAGAGAATAACATATAAAATAGTTTTTCGATATTAAATGTGAAATCATTTTATATTGAGGTGTTGATTTAATTTTTGTGAGCTATAAAAAAGGCTCCTGGGAGAATATAATACGCCAGAAATCCCAATAAGGAAATATTATTTTTTATCTTCTTCTCTTAAATTTTTGATAAATAGCATTTGTTCATACAATTTGCTATTATTCAATAAATATTTTTGATAAATATCTCAAATTTTCAAATACTGATTTTTTCTAGTATTTGGATTAAATCTCATTATTTGAAATTTTTAAAAAATTAAAATTTTACGTCAATTTTTTATCTTTTACAAAAACATCCCATATAGTTTTTAGTTGTGTTGTATTACACAAGTTTTTGTTCGTGAACACCAAAATAGAGATGAAATATTCGGTGAATATGAAAGTGATGATATGGGTATTGATGAAAATAATGAACAATTGGCTCAGGGTAACAAAGTTATGTGCTTTGTCTATTTCACGATGTATGTAATGATGCTTGTCTCACTCACGTCAAACTATCACATTTCTCTAGTGTCATGGATACTACTTGTTATTTGTTGCAATGAAGATTCAATTGACTTGTAATACGAACTTATGATTAGTTGTTATAGTTTTTAAAACTTATGGGTATAAATCATATTTTTTTTAAAAAAAAAAGAAATATGCTTCCATATATACTATGGTCAAACATAAAGTGAAATTTCACGCAAATAATATTTGCCAAGAATATTTCGAAATCTATGACCAAAAGCTAGCTTAAGCTTCTCCACCCTTATTGTAAACCTATATCGGCACATGATATTATAGGCAAATAAAAATAAACTTAACTAACCTTAACTCACTTATGTTTAACCTCTTCATACAAATTTTACTGTTAATCAAAATGACTAGTTTTTCAGTAAATAATTATAATTTAGGGAAAGATACTTCTCTTACTTAGCTATTTATAACCTTTGTTGGTGATGAATAAATTGAGCTATTTAATGCCAAGTTTGGTGGGAAAAAAAAATTGCCAAGTTTGATATTGGTATGTGACTGAATATGAACTAAAAAAAAAAATACAGGTCCATATGATTCACATGTGATATGTTATTTAATCAAATTTTCTTTGTTCTCATTTGGTGTACTTTCACTTTCCACCTTTTTGAATGTTTTGGTCTCAATTGCACTTTGAGCCAATCTTTAGCACACATCATTGTTTGAGTATTAACTTTTATCAGAAAATAGAATTAGAATTTAAGACGTAAAGCACTTCTATTCATTGATTGTTAAAAAGATTATTAGCTCATTTTCGTATCAAATTTATATGAAGATTGAAAAAAGGGTTTAAAATATATTTTAACTTTTAGCGAATAAATTTTACGGACGACCTTTTATTCATGTACTATTAAATATTGTATTTTAAAAGTGTATATATACTCACGTGGACACATTATTATTCATAATGATGCAATATTTACGATCCACATGGATATATATATATATACGTATATACTTTTAAAATACACTATTAAATAGTGCAGGGGTAAAAACCCTTTTCAAAGTTTGGTATTGTTACAATAATTTCGATCAAAGATAGAATATATTTCAAACTTTTTTACCAAGATTTTTTTATCAAACATGAAATTTAAAAAGAAAGAAAAAGATTTTTAAAATTTGTGATTATAAATGAATAATAAATATTTGTATGATTATAAATTATTTAATTAAGAATTTTAAAATTAAACGTTTAGTATTAAATATAGAAATGTTTCTTTTTCAAAGTAAAAAATTATATAATCCTAATTTATTTGGAACTAAACATGACGCATATGGGGATGTAGCTCAGATGGTAGAGCGCTCGCTTAGCATGCGAGAGGTACGGGGATCGATACCCCGCATCTCCAACTTTCTTTTTTTGTTTGTTTTTTAATGCAAAAAATAGGGACAGAATTATTATGTTTATGAACCAAGAGCTTATAATGTAAAAATCTTGCTGATATAACAGAATTATTATCACAAATATGTAGTACTATTTTACAACAATATTCACTTCAAAATAGAACCCCAATAATACTCCATATCCAAAACCCTGTGCTCTTTATTGTTTTTTCTGTGACTCCTTTACAATTTACATCTTTGCAATGTTATATACAGAACCTTGCTGCTAACCTACCACCAGTTTCGGACCCTCTTCGTTCTTCCTCAGTATTACCAGCTCCTTGTTAAGGCAACAGCTCCATCGTTGTTGAAGTGTGTACCCTAGAGCTGATTATTGCAACGTCCGTGTATCCATCGTCTTGATCTCATACACTCTTAAACTAAATCAGTCCTTATGTTATGATAAAACTATTGTACAAGACTGATGCCTAGGGAAGAACTGTCATCATCTCGAATTAAGTCCTCAACTGGGTTCTCCTTGGCCCACACAGCTGCATCCACATAACCTTGTTCAAAGAGCTTATCAAGAATATCATCTTCTGCAGGCTCGAGTGCCCAATTGAGAAGCTGCATATAATGGCCGAAAAAAAGAGGAGATACAACTTGTTATTGGTCTATCATTAGAAAAATCTGGCAATTTACTGAAGGATGTTCAAGTACCTGGCGGGGAGTGGCCCTGCTATCGGGGTTGCAGTCAGGACTTATCCCAATTCCTTGCAATCCCAAACGACTGGCTGGAAATGCACAAATGCGCACCTGGATACAACCAATCAGTTATCAACTAACCCAAGGAATCATATGAACAGAAATCAATATCCTGACAACTCACCGATGTTTCTACTGTAGAACTAGCAACTAAAAAAACTTAAATTGTTAGCACCCAAGGTTTGTTGTACCTTCCTGATTGAAATGGGCCATGCCTAAACCTTGGAGGTATAGTTACTTGGTACATGTGCCTGTATGAGGTAGCAACTAGCAAGTACCAGTGGAATAGTTGATGTGCGCAAAAGTTGGCCCAATACCACCATTACAAAAAGAAATCACGATACTGGAAAATGTCACAGGGAGGAAAAGCAACAGGATGAAACAGGGAAAATACAGTATCGGCACAGACAGTGAAAGGAAAAAACAAGAAGGAAATGAAGTTCATGCAGAAGACTAAAGACAAGTAGGTTACATATCAAACATGCAGAGAAAATCTTAAGAATTATTGTAATCAACAACCAAGGAGATTTGCAAATTTGCTGCTAATAGTTTTAGGCTACATTAGAAGAGCATGAGGACAGGGAAAATGCATTCTGATTTCAGGTAACTTATTAAACATGAAAGACTACTAATTTGAAGTAGATCATAATGTGTATATTAGCAACTCCGAACTAATTCCAGAGCCGCACACAAGGCCTCAGTTGACAGCTAATTATCAGATGACTTGATGGGTTGAGTTGAGTCAATACATAAATTCATGGATCATATGAGTATCTCTGTTGGATTGAGTAAGTGTTACTCTCTACAATATAGAGTGAAGTCAGGTTAACAGACAAGGGTTTTCGGAGCCCCCCTTCCCCTCTTTTTTTTTAAGAACTTCTCGTCAAAGTTTGGAGGCAGCATTTTTCTTAGAATTGCAAATCAGTGACCATAAAATGCTTTTCCTCTTCAAATTATTTCAAAGCACAGGACATACAATAGCAAATTCAACCTACAACTAGCATCCACAAATGACAGCAGACTATTTGACTAATTTCTTAACAAATTACCGTCTGAGCAGCAGATGTCGGCGGCATAAACAGTGTCAGCCCCCCATCAATACACAATCTATTCCTGAAAAACGTGGCTGGTCTCGGAGCAAGATATCTGTGATTCATGATACTTTGAAGGTTTAGATTAAAGCTTGAGCTAAAAGAGAAACTAATAAAGCCAGAAGGAAAGTGTACCCTGGGATAAACGAAGAAGTAAAGACAGCATTGATAAGATCTTCCTTTGAATCAAACTGATCAACCAACAAGCCTCTGGGCCTCCAAAGTATCTGTGTTACAGCAACTGGGATGAAATGATTACATTATTTTCAACTCAGAGAAAGTGAGAAACCATATTATATTTCGGAAGAGCTTCAAATATCAGCTAGGATGAACAAAGTTCATCTACACTTACCACGAACTCTTCCATTGCATCTAATATGAGCATCATCTGGAAGAAATTTCTCTAGAACTTCTCTAAGAACAGCCTGGTACAGAATGACATTTTAGATGCTTTAACATTTAAATACCAAAAAAGCTAAATATTAGTCTTCAATAACAATACTCTAGAAAATCTCAATGACACAAATAAAGCATTTACCCACATTAGGTATTTCAGTGAGAAAGAAAATCTGCAATCTGTCTCCTTATAAGAGATTGCAATTTTAAGTGGACAAATCAAGTCATGATTAAAATGCTACACACTTGTCACTTCTAAGTTTTTTACTCTTATATACCCAATTCATGCACCTTGATTGAGCCAAACACATTAAAAAGTTTCAATTGATCTATTCTATTTTTACAAAAAACTATTATTTATAGCTGCATTGCTTGTGGGAATACACTTGGTATGTTGTCGTTGTTGTACTATGATTTGTAGATTAAATCTGTTTCATAGAATTTGACTGAGATCAATCCTATCAATTGTAAACATAATTATGAATGGATATGATTTTTATAGCTTGCACAATTAAGAAATTATGTTATGACAAACTTACCCCAAGGCGAAATGCTGTCCCTTTGAGCCGACAATCTTGAGCTAATATTTTCGTAGCATCTAGAGCCTCTTGCATACTGGCACCAGAAGCAACCACTACACAGACAATTGCACCAGCAGACGAACCAGCTAGTGGTGTTGTCTCCTGGGAAAGAAGAAACACGTCGGACTGTGAAAAGACATCTTTGTAATCCTTTGTAACTAAAAAAAGAACATTCAACCAAGACCCTCTCACCAGTAGGTAAGTGGTTTAATTGATCTTTACACAAAGTGGGACTTTTCGTCGTTACATAATGATGGATTAACGCATTATTTTTAAACTAACTACACAATATAATAGGTTATAACCTTCCAAACTAGTTGTAATCCTCTCACACGATAAGCTTATTAGCAAATCAAGATGCTTGAATAATCAGGGAAAAAGCTCAATAAAACTACAGAATGTCGGTCCGTAGCAACTTTAAGTTCTCAAGGAAGCAGATGAACCAAGTTAAAATAAAGGGCATAGTAGTCTCAAAGTAAATGAAGAGTATGGCAAACCTTGATATAGCCCTTCTCAATGAGAAGCTTAGCAACCCCAAGATGATAGGGAAACAAAAGCCCAGCAGCAGAGAAGCTAAACCCAGGGCTAGTCACCGTTTTCAAGCTCTTCTCAGCTTCCACATCCTTCTCCGTCTGCTCCCACACAACCTCCGGCTGAACAGGGTCCTCAACCACCGACGCTATCCCTTCCTTCCTCCTTTTCAAAAAGTAAGACTCACTCTCTTCATCATCCTTGAACATAGTCACACCAGCCGGCTCCTCATTCGACCCATTAACTAAACTACTTCCACGCCTCAAAACTCGTGAAGCAATCCCAAGGAAAAGCTCGCCGGTCGCCACCGCAAACGACTTCTTCTCATCCCCCACTGGCGGAGTAGGCAACGGCGGTTCTCTGATGGTGGGTGGTTGTTTTGCATTGGAGTTCGGAGGGGGTGGGTTAGGTTTAGCGGAGAAATTGAGGGTACGAAGTGGAAAAACGAGATGGGGATTAGATTTAGGGTTTATAGGAGGGCGAAAAGGACGAGGGTTTGAGAGGAAAAGGGAAGATAGTGAAGCAGCCATTGATTTGTTAGGTTGAGAAGAAGAAGATGATGATTTTTGATGGGTAATATGTTTCATATGTATTTGTATTTCTTTCGTCCATACGTATATGCTCGTGATTTTGCCTTTGCTCTGTAAAATTGTTAGCTTTTGGAACATGAACTATTTGGATTTTGTTCTTTGCTCCATTGTTGAGTTTGGAGACGATGATTTGTTGAGTTTCAACCAAAGATTCTTTTTCTCGTCTTCTTTAACAATTACCGCTACTATTACAAATCTCCCAAGTTATCATGCTTTTTCATTTTTAAAGTTTAAATATAAATTTATTAATTAATATTTTATTATATATTTTTTATCGTATTAATATATAAAAATTGCAATATATAATATATTTTGTATAATTTTTTTATTTAAAATATCAATAATGTAATCTAATTTTAAAAATTAATTAAATTATTTTTTTAAAAAAAATAACATAACAAATAGAGTACCTAATAATATAGAGTAATAATGATGATATTTTTATTTATTTTTATGATGGATATGTGCATTTCTACTAATTTGGATGTATTTAGACCATATTATTACTCTAAGGAGTACTTGAAATCAATATAATGTCAACATACTCACTTGATAATTAGTGGTTTTTGAGCATTTTAATATTTGTCTATTGTTAAAAGTGTCATAATTTTGTCATAGGCTTAATATATATAATTAGAGGAATATCATTAGAGGAATGAGTGTTTTGATGAAATCTATTGAAAATACATCATTTAGTTTTACTTAAACATTTTCAATAGATTTCATCTAAAAAAGGATTAACATATTCTCTTCATATTGAATTCTTAAGTAAAATTATTTTTTCATGAAATATGGGTAAATTAGTATTTTATCTAATCCATTTATTATTCAACCCCATTTTTACCCATATCAAATATGGACGGGTTGAATAATTACTCATTTTCAACTTGCCCACATTTGATTGAATCCGCCCATTTGTCTCCTCCGTATTGAAATTTTATTTTTTATTCCTCCATTATACCTTGTAGCATATGTAACTTTTAAGACCATTATTTTTTATTTATCACCCCATTATCTTCTTATGCATTGCTAGATAGAATTCTTGTGGTATAAACAGTGGTGGTCTTCATTTGATTTATACACACATAACACACACGAAAAAATAAGAGTGAAAGAGTTAATAAAAATAAAGAGAGTTCTTATTAGTTGGAAGGAAATGTTCTTTTTATGGAACTTTGAACTCAACTCTTGTCCAGAGTTGTTGAATTATATTTTGTGATTAGGATGTTGCATACCGGAGGAAACAAATCAAAGAAGACTATTGTTGAACCGGTGAAAACATTTGTTGTAGTGGGCTTGAATCTCCATAAAGAAAGTGACATATCTGCGTCTCAGCCTAAAGAAATTTATTTCTTTATTTTTATTTTTAATTGTTATCTTGTATTTTTTGTTATCTTGTAAGATTTTCACTAACAATAATTCCATCGGAAATAACAAAAGTTTGTATCTTGAGTTTGAAGAATTGAATTTCTCAGCTTGAATTGGTCAACATACAAATTAATCATTCTTTCTCGGATGTATGTTCTATAATAGTCGAATCCTTTTGATCACATTTAAAACAATTTGAAATTATGTCTTGACATATAGTCCTTGCTACAACCTTAGTAGATTATTTCTCAGAGTTCTAAAGTTATCCATAAGCTGAACTTGAAAACCAATTGACTTAGTTATTATTATGTATCATAAGAGATGTAGTTCCTTGATCAAACTACAAGCAACGAGTTTATTTGCTATTACAATGGTCAATCATAGCACCACAGTAAAATGTGAAGCAAGTTGGACTATGTTGTTTAGCTTTACCATGAAGCATATCTTCATTGTTGTTGATCGGAAATCTGATCAAGCTTGTACGCGTCATGAGAACTAGTTCCAACACTGATGTCCAACTGAAATGGTTAAGACCGATGCTTGAGAGTTGAGACAATAACTATCCACATGAGCCATGCTTAAAGAGGGACTCTATATGATGGATCCACCATTCTTAGAATAAACAGGTTTCCTTGGTTGCCCCTTGATATCCTGTAACAAATGATGTTGCATGAAAAAGGTATGTGACACAATTGAAAACAGTTGGTTATTTTCCTTTACCTTAGTTCTTCATCCAGGTATGTGATTTCAAGTTCACCACGACCACTTCCTCGGTTCTTTATAGGTATCTACGAGCCAGAAGAAAGATTGATCCAAGATAAGTTAACAAGCAAAGCTTTACAAATTTTATTACGTAATTTCTTGTCAATTTTCTTGAAGCAAGCAATAGACAAAGAGATAGGTAAAGAGAGTAGCAATGTGTCGCCTGTTGATACTTGATAACAACGTAAGAGGAAACATCTTGTTGTTTAATAAATACAATAGAATGCAGGCTGATTAAATTTCCTTGCCAAAATGAAGGTTACTTACCAGACTTGCTATCTTGAAAGAGTCAAATTTTACAGCAACTCTCCGTGCATTAAGAGGAACTAAATTGGCAGTTGCCTGCAGATATGTTAGAAAACTGACTTCAACTTTATTGCAAAAATCAAAAGGAAATATTTTCTTTTATAGTAACTGGCAGTGGATGACCCTTTCTTAAACATATATCGAGTTTTTCTCTTGGAATCCAGGACAATGAGAATCTCATCATGATAATTATAGAGTTTTATCTATTTTCAAAGGCGCAAAAGACAGCCTATTCTATCTGTCCCAACTGAAATAAAGCATCACTTTTGTGCATTACCGTTTTCACAGCAAACTTCCATAAAAGGAAGCAGCTCCAGCAGCTTATTAACTAAATCACATAATAATACTGAGATAAAAAACAATCTTTTTCTTTTTCTGTGTGGTTTATTTTATGGAAATATTTCATGACATAAAGAATGTGTGTGTGTGTGAGCAGAATTTGTTTACAATAGTTTTGAAAACTACCTTATTTGAAATTCGAAGGCTGCATCTACTCATGAAGGTGACAAAACTAAAGAGGTATCCAATATAAATCACAGACCAGAAAATCAAGTTACCAGATGGACGTGCGTGTGTATGAAGCACCCTGAGGTACAGCACAAGTACTCCTGCTAAAAGATTTAGTCCTTGAATTGCAAATAAATCTAACTTGACTAGATTTCTGAGCCTTAATAATACAATAGCTGGAGAAACAGGTAAATTTTTACAAGTTACAGATTAAATAGGACAATATTTCACAGAAAAAGAAAGAAAGACTGGAGATCCTTTGATGTTTCTCTATGAGTTCAAAAAGGGACCTGATTGAAAAATGGCCATGTTTCTATATTTTGAGCCCTCAATGTATCTGCATTGATAGCCTGGTAAATTTTTCCATTGGCTCTCAAGAATTTGGGCCTCTGCGACAATAATAAACTAACAAGAACCTTGTCACAACAGTTAGAAATGAAGCACATTAAAAGGCACTAGCAATGAAGAATCTAATCAAACACACAGTTTGTAGCCAATTTTTCCATTGGCTCTCAAGAATTTGGGCCTCTGCGACAATAATAAACTAACAAGAACCTTGTCACAACAGTTAGAAATGAAGCATATTAAAAGGCACTAGCTCAATGAAGTATCTAATCAAACACACGGTTTGGAGGATCATTGAATTCGTTGCACTAGTCTAATATTGCAATCACATGTTCATGAAACACAAACTACACCAAAATAGTTACAGTCTATAATTATATACTTGTTACAGAACTTTGTTCCCTTTCTAAGAAGAAATCTTCACAAGAATCTTCAATGAAACTTTTTATGTTTTGAAAACCTCTTATAATTCTAAAGGGACACAAATTTTCAAATAGTTGTGTCTCTTCTCTTTTATTAATTAATAAATTAAATATATAATAACTACATATTATTTCTCTAGTAATATGGATCAGGGTTGACCCACATGGTGACCCGATTCAATTTCCTTCACTCTACCTAAGTTGCTGCCTTCTTTTTTTCCCCTTTTAGAAGTTTGTTGTCATATGTCATTTTAGAATGCATCTTAGCATATTGTTGATGTTTCGAATTGAGAAAACAAATTGAAACTTGTGATCTAAAACCAACATTCACAAAACAGAAGGAAAAGAGAAAAGGAATCAATCATCTAACACTCTCAAAAGAATAAGGAAAAAATATTAAAGGCAGACTCTGAGACATCACTGCAAATAGAAAGCATAACTTATTTATGCTTGATATTTGAAGCATGGAAGCGATTATGGAGTTAAATTATGACAAAAGAACAAAGGGTGAAGTGATTAACTACTTATGTATTTTTCCTTTCTATGTACACCCTAGACTTTTACTTTTACTACTTATATGATTCTAAAACCAACAGTCTTCGTAATTGAATTAATCTGTTCCCTAGAGATAAGAACAGATGATAAATGAGCAGGAGCATCTTTAGCTTCTGGAAATGTGCATAAGAAAGATAAATTCAAACCAGACCAGACCTTGGTTTGTAGAATTGATTGAGATGTAGTATACAAAAGCTCCCACTTTCCATTCAGTAAGCTTGACTTCAGGGGCTCCTTCACTTTATTAGCTGCCTCAAGTTTGCTTGCAATCTGCATACACATTAGGCTAGTAATGCACCATGCAGCAAAATAGGAGCCAAAGCCCAAAAGGGCTTCTCTCAAACTTAACCTTACCTGGCAAGTAAACACTCCAACTTTAAACTTAATCTTACCTGGCAAGTAAACACTCCAACATTGAGTATGCATATCTAGACACCCCCAACTCATCTCCATTATGTTGGTTGAACACTCCTACTTACAAAAATGATAATCTCGACACCTTCAAAATTTATATTTTACGTCACCAGACACCATGAGGACAAATCAGAATGTTTAGTTGTCAGTTGAGACCAAATTAAGGTGTCTAGGCGTGCACTCTCAAAATTAAATTGTTTTCTCACCAGCTGGAACCAAGTTTATGTCTTCAAAACAGCATATCTCCCTCGTAAAAACTCGAAATTGATCAAACTCGGCGACGTTGATATATATGCCCTTATTGTTATGCAATCTACGCCCAACGGCCAATTAAGTCCTAAATAACAATCATAAACTACAATACCCACAAATAATTCAAAACAAAAGAATATATTAAACAAGGAGCATGACCCACCTGATCAACAAGCTTTTGATCTTCAGGAGTGGCCTCAGCACCGCGATCAAGTGGGGCTATGGCTTCGAGAAGCTCCTGCTTAAGGCTCTCAATGTCTTCACTTTTGGTAAACAAAAACGGAAATAAGGAAACCCTTGCCCTCAATTTCAAAGATTCCGGTACATAATTGACGGCCGTAAAATGATGGAAAAATGATCTCCTTCTTGAACAAGAAAGTAGTAGTTTCGGATTTGCTGGGAAAGAAGAATTAATAAAGGGGGAGATTGGGTGAAGTTTAACCGGAGAAGATGAAGACATACAAAGAGTAGCCATTGTTGGTTAAAATTTTGAAATAGTATTAGTTCAATTTTGGTACACACAGTTTTGTCCTGGCGTGGATAAACATATTTTCACACGTCTTCCTTAGCTTCCCGCCACATTTTAATAAATATCTCATATGCTTAATTATTAGAGTCGGTTCCGTTATTCGGTATTTACTTTAAAAAAAATATGGTATAATAAGTCAAACTAATTCAAGTTCAGTTTGATTTTTTAACGATTTATTTTAATTCAATATTTTTAATAAAAATTTGATTCTTCGATGCATTAAAGTTTTGAAACTTTTACTAAACATTGAATCGAATAATCAAACTTTTGAAAAAATAACAATAATATCAGACTTAAAAAGTATTTATGCCTACCCCTAAAAATAATACATTTCACTCTTTTTTTTTTATTGTTTTAAACAAAAAAAAAACATGTATTTTCAGAAACATTTATATTCCCAATTCCTAAGAACTTAATAGAATTGTTTAATAAGAAGAAAAATTTTTTAAAAAAACTCCGTTACCGGGAATCGAACCCGGGTCTCCTGGGTGAAAGCCAGATATCCTAACCGCTGGACGATGACGGATGCTTGTTGAGAAAATTGCAATCTTTAAATAATTAATAGTCTTATCCTGAGGCATCTCTTTATTTTGGCCATGTGAAATCAAGTTAATGTAACTTCTTCTTCTTCTTTTTAAATGTTTCCTTGAAGGGGTTATTTAAAAAAAAATGGAAAATGAGGGAGGGGATTACCACGGAGCAATTTGAACTCTCAAAGGTAAGGTGAAAGTTTAGGTAGTCAACCAATAAGGTAAATTTAACTTGAAGTTACTTTATTTGTTTTATCCGATTGTTTAATGCTTTATTTTTATATTATCAAATAAGGCTTGTTTTGGAAATTTTGAGTTAAGTTTGTAGGAAATAAGTATGTTTCTTATTTTTTTAGTATGTGAGTAAAAAATATTATTCTACAACAGTTATACATAATTTAGACATATATTATGTGAGGTGGGAGTGAAGGCAGAAGTATGGGTGTGTTGGATAGTGGTGAGCATACAATTTGTTTTTCAAGGTTTAGCTTGTCCAATTGGCGGTGATCTTGTGATGTCTTTTTTCTGTGCAAGATACAACGATGAATTTCTTTTAGTTATCGTTCTAAATAAATGAGATTAACCCTTAAATTAATCGATTGATTCAAAGTACGAAAGGATTGATTGAAGTTTGAAATCAATTAAGGACTAATGCCAAGCAAGTAGCTGTTGCAAGATTGAACGTCTAGTATCTATTTCACGACACTCCCAAACTCTTATAAAGGTCGGTGGAAGAAAGTTCTTCTCATATTTCTTACCGCTCGTTATCATAACAATTGTTCACTCTTTCGACTTCTTCTATTTTAAAAAGTCACTTGTAAAACTAGTTAATTTTTACTTCTATTAGGAAAGTTAATTTTCTCATTTTTGATGAAGTTGTTATGCATAGAAATCAAATTTGTCAGTCTTCCTCAAATTTATTTTGAAATATAAATAAAAATGGGAAAATTATATATAATATGACAAAATTAATAAATCAAATTAAATGTTATAACCATGCTTTAATTTAATTGTGCCTTGTCGCAAACTATTTGTCAGTCACCTCTCTCCTTCAAACTCTCGCTCGCTCACTCTCACTTTTATACAAACACAATTGTATAAATTGCATTCTGTTTGTATGAAGCGAGAAAAAAATTGTATATATACATATATTTTTTTCTCCTCTCTCTCCTCTCTCAGATCTCGCTCGCCACTCTCGTAGATCTCGCTCACCACCCTCGTCCATATCGTTTATACAAACATAAATGAAATGTATAAATTGCGTTTTTGTTTGTATAAAGCAACAGAAAATTTTATGTGTATACACTTGGAAATACACATATTTTTGTCATATACACTTATAATTATACAATATAAAAAAAAATTCCTGCCCAATTTTCTTTTGTTTTTCTCTCTTTCTTTTTTTATACATACACAAATTATACAATTGATTTGTATACAACTTCTTTCTTTTGTATATGTATAGCGAATTATATAATTGATTTCTTTGTATATGTATAGCGAATTATACATAATTATATTTGCTATGAATGACAATTATGCAAACTTTGCTATTACGTACAAATATAAAATTTGTATTTACTATATGTGAAAGTTGCTAAAAAAATAATTATATTTTCATGCATTTTGTGCAAACTTAACCGATGAATATTTGTCAATTTTCCTTAAATGAAAGTCGTTTTAAAAAATAAAAATCTGAACCTTTTTTTTTCAAAAAATAAATGATGAAAGTCCATAAGTTTTTATAAAGATTTTTTTTAAAAAAAAATTATTGTCTTTTTGACATTATCCTTGGTTTTATCGCCAATTTTCACTTGTTTTTAACAACGCTAATGAGATTTTTTTTAAAAAATATATAATGAGATTTTAAAAAAAAATATATATTTATAATTAATCTTTTATTGCACAAATTCTTATCAAATCTAATAGAAATAGTTTGCTAAATAATTTGATGGACTAAAAATGTTAAACTTTCAGCGATCTTAAAGGATTTCAACCTTGAAATACATTCTTAACAGAATATTTTTAATCTACCTTCAAACATAAAATATCATTTTTAGAAAAAATTATGAGAAAGTCAAAGGATCAAAACTATAAAATGTATACTTGGAAGAGACTAATTGTATGCAACTTTTCCATGTGTTGTTCCTTTCTAATATCATTTTAGAAACTAATATTGTTTTATGTTGTATATTTTAGGATTTAATGAAACAATTTTTTGATATTTATAATCAATCTTTTTTCACAATTCTTGTCAAATCAAATTAGAAACATTTTGTTTGAAAATTGAAAATTTTAACTTTTGACAATCTTAAAAGATTGAAACCTAAGGGAGTATTATTTAGTCTACCCTCAAACATAAAAAGACCATTTTTGTTGAATTAAGACAAATTTAAAGGATTAAAATTATAACATCTATACTTAAGGGACTATTTTGAGTGTTCCCTCAAACATAAGGGACCATTTTTATAATTTTCTCATATTTTTTTTTTTTGGCCCTATTCCAATTTAAATGCAATGAAACCCCAAGACTCAGATGAGAAACCGATAAAGAAGAACGGGAAGAAGAAACATAGAAGAGCTTGAGGAATCATGAATGCTCCACCGCATGACGTATGTAAATGTCAATGGCGTATTCACCCTTCTCTCTATTCGGTTGTCTTCTTCTTTGGTAAGCAAAAGAAGAAGAAGACGTAATAGAGAAACTGAAAGAAAAAAGGGACAAAAATCAAGCTGTCCCGGCATTTACTCTTTGTTTTCTACCAGCTTTCTCTACTTTTGTCTGATCTTCCGAAATGTAACCGCTTCACTCATATCTAAGTTGCTGATTGTAGTATCAGTTTCTTGACCTCGTTGTACTCTGTGAGTTCCCTTTCTTGATTACTCAATGTACTTAAATTTTTTCATTTAATCATTGTTTTTGTTGAATTTGTTAAAATGGGTGTTGGTTTTTCTGTACGTAGATGACTGGAATTTTGAAGATTGCGGATTTGATTGCTGAGAAGACACATTAAGGTTGCTACTAGTTTTTTTTGCTACTTATGTTACTGCTAATTTACTTGCAATTTGTTTTTGATTTTCTGGAAATTTAGTTCTGCAAAGCCATAAGGATGTGTGGGTATACTATAAGTATGATTAAGAACGAAGTTCTAGGGGACTATTGTGTTGAGATGGTTTGGATATGTGAAGAGGAGGTGTTAGGGCGTGCCAGTGAAGAGGTGACTAGACTTTATAGGATGTGGGAGTGAACTTTTTCTTGAATTGGGTCAAAGTGATCAAGTTTGTCGAGGCCAATCATTGCTAAGAATTAATGGAAAACTTGGGAAATAGCTTCTGCTAATTGTAAATTAGCCTTTAATACAATGTCCACATGCTGTGTAATTAAATATATTATATGTTTGAGAAGATATGATGGCCTTTTCTTCCTGGCAGTCTCTCGTTAGAATCGGAATTTCTAGTTTAGTGATGATGATGTGTTTGATTGCCCCTCCTTTCCCTTGTTAGTTATTTTCTTGTTCGTATGTGACATTGGCCTGAAGGGATTTATGCAGCTATTCTATTAACTACATGAGCTAGGGAGATCTTTTTCCAGCAAGTCCTTGCCCAAAAGTGCTTTTATCGTTTCTTTGTGTCCTATACTGAGAAGGGATTTTGCATAATATGTGATTGATATTTAATTTGCGACCAGATGTTGAAGTAATGTGAACTGTAGAGAGAAAAAGAGATCAAATTACTTACTAATGCAGTAAAAGGATCTTATTAGTCATTCTGTTTTAAAGAACCATTCCCATTGAAATTTGCTATGGATCATAATGTAATTGTGGACATAAATTGCATTTTATGGGGTTCATCTTCATCTTTCATGTTGCCTTCAGGAATGCTAAAGCAGACTGGTCTTTACAACTTCACCTATTAATTTTTTCCTACTTGGCAACTGAAAGAAGTAATTAAGTAGAATTGCTTGAAGATAGGGGTAGATGATCTTGGCTAGGATGCCTTTATACTCGTTATGACTTCCTTGTAGAGGTGAAGAATTGGTGAGAGAGATTATACACTTGTACTTAATTAAACTATTATATATATCTTTCTGATAAAAAAAAGTATATCAGACATTCTAAGTTTTCAAATTTACTATGCTGTATGATTACTAAGTGGTGTATAAACCCAACCAAAATAGTCTGTTTGGCCTGGTCCAAATCTTAGTCCATTGTGACTAGAATTCTTAGTCAAGCCTCCACTGTGGGGCATATATAAATGGACAAAAATTGATCCGTATATCAGTTCAGTTCACACATCTCTCTACTTTCTGGTTGTCTTGTTACTGGTAAATTAAAAGACA